TATGATGAACGAGACGGACCCATACTTACCCAAACATGGATTAATAGGTTCTATACATGACTATGAGGAGAAACATGAGTGAAACGGTCTCAATCCAAGGGAGGAACATCAAATGGACCAAATTTGGGAACCGGAAGAGGTAAGGAGTCCGAAATGTAGCTTTGTGCCTCCAAATGGTGGGAACTTACTTTTAGTGTATATGATGAACGAGACGGACCCATACTTACCCAAACATGGATTAATAGGTTCTATACATGACTATGAGGAGAAACATGAGTGAAACGGTCTCAATCCAAGGGAGGAACATCAAATGGACCAAATTTGGGAACCGGAAGAGGTAAGGAGTCCGAAATGTAGCTTTGTGCCTCCAAATGGTGGGAACTTACTTTTAGTGTATATGATGAACGAGACGGACCCATACTTACCCAAACATGGATTAATAGGTTCTATACATGACTATGAGGAGAAACATGAGTGAAACGGTCTCAATCCAAGGGAGGAACATCAAATGGACCAAATTTGGGAACCGGAAGAGGTAAGGAGTCCGAAATGTAGCTTTGTGCCTCCAAATGGTGGGAACTTACTTTTAGTGTATATGATGAACGAGACGGACCCATACTTACCCAAACATGGATTAATAGGTTCTATACATGACTATGAGGAGAAACATGAGTGAAACGGTCTCAATCCAAGGGAGGAACATCAAATGGACCAAATTTGGGAACCGGAAGAGGTAAGGAGTCCGAAATGTAGCTTTGTCCTCCAAATGGTGGGAACTTACTTTTAGTGTATATGATGAACGAGACGGACCCATACTTACCCAAACATATTAATAGGTTCTATACATGACTATGAGGATAAACATGAGTGAAACGGTCTCAATCCAAGGGAGGAACATCAAGTGGACAAAGTTTGGGAACCGGAAGAGGTAAGGAGTCCGAAATGTAGCTTTGTGCCTCCAAATGGTGGGAACTTACTTTTAGTGTATATGATGAACGAGACGGACCCATACATACCCAAACATGGATTAATAGGTTCTATACATGACTATGAGGAAAAAATGAGTGAAACGGTCTCAATCCAAGGGAGGAACATCAAATGGACCAACTTTGGGAACCGGAAGAGGTAAGGAGTCTTAAATGTAGCTTTGTCCTTCCTAATGGTGGAAACTTACTTTTAGTGTATATGAGGAACGAGACGGACCCATACTTACCCAAACATGGATTAATAGGTTCTATACATGACTATGAGGAGAAACATGAGTGAAACGGTCTCAATCCAAGGGAGGAACATCAAGTGGACAAAGTTTGGGAACCGTAAGAGGTAAGGAGTCCGAAATGTAGCTTTGTGCCTCCAAATGGTGGGAACTTACTTTTAGTGTATATGATGAAAACGAGACAGACTCATACTTACCCAAACATGGATTAATAGGTTCTATACATGACTATGAGGAGAAACATGAGTTAAACGGTCTCAATCCAAGGGAGGAACATCAAGTGGACAAAGTTTGGGAACCGTAAGAGGTAAGGAGTCCGAAATGTAGCTTTGTGCCTCCAAATGGTGGGAACTTACTTTTAGGGTATATGATAAACGAAACGGACCCATACTTACCCAAACATGGATTAATAGGTTCTATACATGACTATGAGGAGAACATTGAGTGAAACGGTCTCAATCCAAGGGAGGAACATCAAGTGGACTAAATTTGGGAACCAGAAGAGGTAAGGAGTCCGAAATGTAGCTTTGTGCCTCCAAATGGTGGGAACTTACTTTTAGTGTATATGATGAACGAGACGGACCCATACTTACCCAAACATGGATTAATAGGTTCTATACATGACTATGAGGAGAAACATGAGTGAAACGGTCTCAATCCAAGGGAGGAACATCAAATGGACCAACTTTGGGAACCAGAAGAGATAAGGAGTCTGAAATGTAGCTTTGTCTTTCCTAATGGTGGAAACTTACTTTTAGTGTATATGAGGAACGAGACGGACCCATACTTACCCAAACATGGATTAATAGGTTCTATACATGACTATAACAAGAAACATGAGTGAAACGGTCTCAATCCAAGGGAGGAACATCAAATGGACCAGGTTTGGAACCGGAAGAGGTAAGGAGTCTGAAATGTAGCTTTGTGCCTCCAAATGGTGGGAACTTACTTTTAGTGTATATGATAAACGAGACGGACCCATACTTACCTAAACATAGATTAATAGGTTCTATACATGACTATGAGGAGAAACAATGACTGAAACGGTCTCAATCCAAGGGAGGAACATCCAATGGACCTAATTTGGGAACCGGAAAAGGTAAGGAGTCTGAAATGTAGCTTTGTCCCTCCAAATGGTGGAAACTTACTTTTAGTGTATATGAGGACCGAGACGGACTCATACTTACCCAAACATGGATTAATAGGTTCTATACATGACTCTGCCAAGAAACATGAGTCAAACGGTCTCAATCCAGGTCTGCTCAAATCCAAGGTTAAGGAGAGAGGAACATCAAATGGACCAGGTTTGGAACCGGAAGAGGTAAGGAGTCTGAAATGTAGCTTTGTGCCTCCAAATGGTGGGAACTTACTTTTAGTGTATATGATGAACGAGACGGACCCATACTTACCCAAACATGGATTAATAGGTTCTATACATGACTATGACAAGAAACATGAGTGAAACGGTCTCAATCCAAGGGTGGAACATCAAATGGACCAAATTTGGGAACCGGAAGAGGTAAGGAGTCTGAAATGTAGTTTTGTGCCTCCAAATTGGGGGAGTGTGTAGAACCTATTAATCCATGTTTGGTAAGATGGGTCCATCTAGTTCATCTTATACACTACAAGTGAGTTTCCACAATGTGGAGTCACAGAGGTACATTTCGGACTCCTTACCTCTTCCGGTTCCCAAATTTGGTCCATTTGATGTTCCTCCCTTGGATTGAGACCGTTTCACTCATGTTTGTCCTCATAGTCATGTGTAGAAGCTATTAATCCATGTTTTGGTAAGTATGGGTCCATCTAGTTCATCTTATACACTACAAGTGAGTTTCCACAATGTGGAGTCACAGAGGTACATTTCGGACTCCTTACCTCTTCCGGTTCCCAAATTAGGTCCATTTGATGTTCCTCCCTTGGATTGAGACCGTTTCACTCATGTTTGTCCTCATAGTCATGTGTAGAACCTATTAATCCATGTTTGGTAAGTATGGGTCCATCTAGTTCATCTTATACACTACAAGTGAGTTTCCACAATGTGGAGTCACAGAGGTACATTTCGGACTCCTTACCTCTTCCGGTTCCCAAATTAGGTCCATTTGATGTTCCTCCCTTGGATTGAGACCGTTTCACTCATGTTTGTCCTCATAGTCATGTGTAGAACCTATTAATCCATGTTTGGTAAGTATGGGTCCATCTAGTTCATCTTATACACTACAAGTGAGTTTCCACAATGTGGAGTCACAGAGGTACATTTCGGACTCCTTACCTCTTCCGGTTCCCAAATTAGGTCCATTTGATGTTCCTCCCTTGGATTGAGACCGTTTCACTCATGTTTGTCCTCATAGTCATGTGTAGAACCTATTAATCCATGTTTGGGTAAGTATGGGTCCATCTAGTTCATCTTATACACTACAAGTGAGTTTCCACAATGTGGAGTCACAGAGGTACATTTCGGACTCCTTACCTCTTCCGGTTCCCAAATTAGGTCCATTTGATGTTCCTCCCTTGGATTGAGACCGTTTCACTCATGTTTGTCCTCATAGTCATGTGTAGAACTATTAATCCATGTTTGGTAAGTATGGGTCCATCTAGTTCATCTTATACACTACAAGTGAGTTTCCACAATGTGGAGTCACAGAGGTACATTTCGGACTCCTTACCTCTTCCGGTTCCCAAATTTGGTCCATTTGATGTTCCTCCCTTGGATTGAGACCGTTTCACTCATGTTTGTCCTCATAGTCATGTGTAGAACCTATTAATCCATGTTTGGATAAGTATGGGTCCATCTAGTTCATCTTATACACTACAAGTGAGTTTCCACAATGTGGAGTCACAGAGGTACATTTCGGACTCCTTACCTCTTCCGGTTCCCAAATTTGGTCCATTTGATGTTCAACTTGGTCGGTCTTTAAAACCGAAAAAGCGAAAACAAAGAACTTGGTCGGTCTTGCGAGTATCTTTCTATAGGTGGAGAAAAAAACAAAATATCATAAAAGTGAAAGCTGAGTTTGACCAATCACCGACCCAGAAGATTAAAATACTATAATCAAGTATGTAATATAATAAACCCTAGACTTATATAGCCCTAATTAATATACATTCGTTAGGTTGTCATCAAATGGTAACTCTTAAATTATCGAATGTTATCCTTAGCCGCTGTTAGCCGACCATTACCACTACCAAAACCAACATACCATCATCATTCAATTTGCACAAACCGTCGTAATCTCTTTAGTTATAGATATTTTGACAGTCTAACCTTATCATTTGAGCTTATGACTTGTCGCATTTAGAAAGCATGAACGAGTTGTGTTCACCGTCCAAAAGAACAGAGAGTGCCACGTAGTCGTACGGACGTTAATGGTTGTATCTCCGCGTTGTCTTTTCAATGGTGTCAACGTCTCTAATATTTTATATGCTTTAACTTCCAAATAGACTGGACCGGGGAATGAATTAGAGTGGAAGCAAAGGAATAATTTTTCTGTAACCCCAAAAAGTTAGTATTTGAATAAGTCAATTGAAAAGAATGAGATATTTATAACTAGATACAAAAAGCGGTGCTGCCCCAAATCTAATCCTGCTCTCATATATAAAAGCCCCATGGAGTTGTCTCTCTCTTAACAAAAATATTAAAAAAAACAAACATACACAATATTCTCTCTTTTTCCTTCAGCTTCTTCTCTCAAGCTTCTCTTTCTTCCTTCCATTGCTCTCTCTGTTTTTCGTATTTTTTTTTTAAATATATAGAAACCGTGAAGTGTACGGCACCAGTTAAGCAGAGATGGACTTTGACGAGGAGCTCAATCTTTGTATCACCAAAGGTAAAAATACCGATCCTTCTTTTGGAGAAGCTTCGTCCACGTCAACGATGTCACCAAAATCTACGAAGAAGATGAGAAATCCTGATCATCGACCTAAACCTTATCTCCGATCCTCCCCTTCACCTCACTCCTTGGTGGCTTTCCCTTTTTCCCTCGATCCAGCGATTCAACATCAACAAGAACTCGGATACTTTCCGGTTAACCAACAACACGACCCGACAATGCAAAGCCACAGGCAAATGATCTCGTTTAGTCCTCAGCAGCAGCAGCAGTATCTGACCAAGTATTGGAGCGACACACTGAACTTAAGCCCCAGAGGAAGAATGATGTTGATGACGAACCAAGAAAGTGTTCAGCCGTACAGCGCAACCAAGCTTTACAGAGGAGTGAGACAACGTCAGTGGGGAAAATGGGTCGCAGAGATTCGTAAGCCACGGAGCAGAGCACGTCTCTGGCTCGGTACCTTTGATACAGCTGAGGAAGCTGCCATGGCCTACGACCGTCAAGCCTTCAAGCTGAGGGGACAAAATGCAACACTTAATTTCCCGGAGCATTTTGTGAATAAGGTTAATGAGGTGAAAGATCCAAGTGAAGTGTTAAACTCGTCGTCGCATCAGGAACAACCTGAAACAACGTTGCCTAAGCCAAGCGAGGTTAACGTGGAGAACAAGGAAGTAGCGGTGAGTGATGATTGTGGGAGAGAGGAAGGGATGATGGCTGAAGCGTGGTACAATGCGATTACATCTGGATGGGGTCCTGAGAGTGCCCTTTGGGATGATTTGGACAGTTCTCATCAGTTTTCAGAAAGCTCATCTTCTTCCTCTGCATCTTGTCCCATGAGGCCTTTCTTTTGAAAAAAGGTTTCTTTAGTTATAGTCCACATTGTAGGTTTTAGTTTAGGGTTTTGCTGATCATTGGCATTTGGATGGAGACAGTTTTTGTGATCTCCCACTTCACACATCAGTGATCATGTATCTCTACCAGTCTAGTTTCTTCTCCCTTATTTTCCATCATTATAATTAATCATAGTGTGTGTGCATGTGTGATTATAGCTACATATATAGATGTCCTATTTGTTCATCTAGTTTCTCTCATTGCATTGAGCAAAGTTTGTTATCATTGCTTTGACAAGTTGGGACCGTCACATATTATCCATAGTTTATAACTTTATATTGATCTCTGCCTCTCATGCAAGATATTTGTGCATCTGTGAATGTGTCTTTGGAGAAGGTAAGGCAAGTGACACCTCCATGAGAACTATAAGTTTTGAGCAAGGCTCAATAGTCTTAACCCCAACCCTTAGTCCGGTGTTGTAACAATGTGTCATTTAGTCATTTTCCTATGTATGCTAAACAATAAAGAGAAAGAACAGGGGACAAGAAACAGAGGTTAGGTGAGTTTGGGAGTTCGGTTGATCACTAGTTGTTACAGCACCAGCTCAAGAAAGAGCTTAACGTAAATTAAAGATTCATAATCTAAATCTCACAGCATCTCTATATGTTAACAAGAATAAAAAAGGAGGAAATATGTGTTTAAGACTTGGAAGTCAAACAAACATAAATGAATGTCTAATTAAGGTAAGAAATATCAAAGATCATTGGAAATCTTAAATGTGTCAGCTGCACCAAACTTTCTGAACTCCTCCTCACATTTATCCACTGATGAGTCGTCATCTTCATCTTCATCATCACTAAACCGGTTTGTGGAAGAAGACTGATCATACATGCTTTTGGACTTGCAATTTTGGGTTGTAAGCATGTTCACTTGTCCATGATGTGAGATCTCTACCGTCACAGTTTCATCGTCAAGTGGCAGTGGCTGTTTCCATGGCTCTCCGTCCATTCTCATGTACGCATGCTTCGCTGAACCTTTCGTAAATTCAAACCGAATTCGATTTGCCTATACACACACACACACGAGTTAAAATGTGCACTTACTCAGATTTTAATTTGTTTGTTTTCTGTGACTTTAAATTTACCTGAGCAAGTTTGTTCCATGACCATTTGGAGCGAGCAGAACAAGACCATGCCAAGCATTTCTAAACCCAACGATTTCGATGAGTCCATCATCAACGAATGGTACAGTTAGGCTTCTCTGTTGAGACATCACAAAGAAAGGAAAAAAATAAGAAAAATTACTAGCTTATTGAAGAAATGTGAAGAGAATGTTAAAACCATACGTCAAGTTTTTTCCTGGGATTTGGTGTTCCCCAAGGATTTAGCCCTCCAGAGAAGCTAGGAAGATTCAAACATACGATTGACCTGATTCTGCCAGAACAAAAATAATTATTAATTATCAGTTCGACTAGAATCTCAATGTAAAGAAGTGATCAGCAAAAGAGGTCCATCATAAAGAAGAATAAAAATCTGAGCTCAACTCAACATGTGGGACGTATACACGAATGTGATATATATTTTGATTAGTTACCTTTGGGGAATGTGGAGATCATTCCATTGGCCACTTTTATCACAAATCTTAACTTTTGCAAGCTGAGCTATGTTTCTGCAGCAAACGCCATATAATTATTAGTGCTTTTTTTCAAATTTACAGGGCTTTAGATCCCAAGTAGACAGAGCAAAAGTGGAGATCAATAACTCATATAAAAGAAATAAGACTAGAAACAAATATAAATATACTCACTGTGAGAAAGGGTGAATAAGAGAGGCATAAAACCATCCTTGTGTGCAAGCAAGCTTTAAATATGTGCTCTGCAACGTCATGAAACCAATGGCAAACTTACTGTTAGTTTAATTAATCAGCAGTAGCTAGAGAGAAGCAATTCCTCCAAATAGTCCGACTAAATTAATAAAAAATATTAGAACTACATCACTTGAAGAAAACATCAAAACAAAGTTTAAGAGAGAAAGGTGTATAAACCTGATTAGACAGCTAATTTTTAAAATTTTCAGGGTGCGATTTTCTCTGGGAATGAAATTCATGAGATACTTGAGCATCCATACCTGTAGTACATTTTTATTCGTGAAGGAATATACCGAGCAATGCTGTTTAGAGGAGAAATGAGAATTTTTGACTGGTCAAAGAGCAAAATTCTTACCCAAGCTAAAGTAATTCCAGAATCCGCCACGAAATGTTTGGTAACCTTCCTGGATAAAGTGAAAAACATTGTTGATCATATACGAAGAAAAGGATGATATAGTGATAAGTAAATTTCTTTGGCAAAAATTACTTGATCTGATGGAGAAACACGATGAAATGCATGGAGAGAAGGTGGTAGCTCAATAGGATCACAAGACCCTTTTTTAGGAGCCTTCATCCTCATAAGTATGTGCCAGCTTAATTAAGACATAAAATGCATTCATATTAACACAAGATTCAACCAGTGTATATTTGATAACTAAAAGAATGATGATATTTGTGTGGATAATAGATATGTACTTGTCTATCTTCATCTCTTTTGCCTTGATCACCTTTTCCAAAAAAGACTCCACAGAAGACCTATCTGTTCCAGGATTTTTCTTACCCTGAAGATCAATCAGCTGATGGGATCAGTTAGAAGAAAACAATCTACTGTATGATAAAATATTTAATGTGATATCAGTTATGTAAAAATACACATACATACCCATCCAAATGCAAATGGAAGGTTATTTCCTGTACCCAATGGGATGGTTGCAATTGGAGGTGGATTGGATAACTTAAGATCAGATATAACTCCAAGGAGCCAACCAGCTGTTCCATCTCCCCCTGCAACCTAATTAAGTAGACACAACTCAACTTAATGACCTTTAACATCTACACAGCTTCTCCATAGAGAGAAGAATAATAAACTCACAATTATTTTCAACTTCTCCCGAATCTTGCAAGCTAAAGCATCATCTTTTAGCCTCTCTAGATTAAGATAGGTTCTCCGCAGCACTTTATCTGGAGTCTCTACCCCAAGATCAAAAACCTGAGCACCAAACGTAATCAAGAGAAACTCCAAAACATAATGTAATTTGATACTATATATTTAATATAATTATTTATTGTTGTAGTAATAGTTTAACTAGGTTTAATTTTTAGGGCTCCTAGGTTTTCAGAGTTAATTATTACTAGTAAAGTTAAGAGTTTTGTCTTTTAAGTTTTAATTAAGGATCACAAGAACATGCATGATGTTGGTATTCAAGGAGATTCACCACGTTTTCTAGTTTCCGCAAAATTTACATAGAAATCAACTGAGATTTGAGAGACGATAGTTTTATAGACATGCTAAAAATAAAATCAATGAATCATTAGCTTAGCTTTTATAGAGACCTGCTTGTCGTTGAGCAGAGTGCGGTAGGTAAGAATGAGTTCTCCACCAAGTTGACCACCGCTTCTTGAGTTGATGAATACGATGATTGGGCTCTCAGGTGGACTACTTGGCACCGCCTCAGCATCATCGGCTTCATCATCAGGCGAGAGAACGTACGAAGGAATGTAGAATTTCTTGAGAAAATCTGATAATTTATTGTATTTTTCCATCATCGTCTCTGACTGGACCTATTCATACAAGTATCAGCAGTATTAATTAAATTTAAGATCCAAATATCAGTATATAATAATCAACAACTTTCATCATGCAAAAGACGATCGAAAAGAGCATCATACCATTGAATTAGATCTCTAGACACGTTGAAAGAAATATGGTTTATTATATTATTTTGTTTGGAAGGATATAATTAATCAGGAATCTTGAAAGAAAGAGCAAGGTTTAAATCATGGAGATCCTCGTTGACAAAAAAAAAAAAAAATAATGGAGATCCTTAAGATTTTTTGTNTGATATTGGTAAGAATATGTTTAGTTGTTTCGTAAATGCTTTACTTTTTGCTCAATGTTCTTTTAAACGAATCAGAAAATAAACCGGATTTTCACGAAACTGAACCGGTCAAGTTATATGGGGATCACTAAACTATGGTTCATGGTTTAGTCAAAATTCTCCTTGACGGATTTAGACAAACCAAGCATGTTCTATTTATACTTTTGATATTCACAAAATGATCTAAAACATATTCTGAATTCAAATATTAGTCCTGTAAAATGTAATTGGCTAAACAAACTGCAAATAAGGGACACGCTTAGGAAAAGAATCAAAATGATTAAACCATATTTAATTATTTGATTCTACCACTAATTTAAAATTTTTGAGCAGCTTCGTAGATCGTTTCGTTACGACGACATTTGGGTCATTTAAAACTCTCCAAATCAAATCATTAATTACTAGGGTTTGACCCGCATCCTATACATGATGATATTTTACTCTAATATTTTTTATCATTAAAATGTTTATTTACATAACTCTGAAAATCTTATGTGACATATTAATTTGATGGTTTGGCTGTTGTCTTTATTTTACAGTATGGAAATCAAGCATTTTAAATAATTTTTTAAGAAGGTAAAAAAGTTTTGGCCATTTCAATAAATTACCGATGGTAAAATTGAGTGAGAACAAAAAAAAAATAACTACAATATAATAAGATAGTGAAAATAACAAATCAAATGATTACATTTAAATAGATATTGTTTTAAATATTGGTAATATTGTATTTCTTTTTTATAATCGTTACGGTTAGATATGGACCATATGGTATGATGTTTTTTCTTCTTTTTATGGAAACAAAAACAATATTATGCGAAATCAATTCAAATTTGCTAACATTATACTCCATCTGTTTCATAATAAGTGTCGTTTTGACAAAATGAATTTGGACTATTTATTAATGTATATGGATGTGTTTTGACTCTTAATACATCCATATACATCTAGATACATTGGGTAACTCAAGAGTCAAACCGACACTTATTATGAAACAGAGGGAGTTAAGTTCAGTCATGTATTAAATAAATTCATTGCTAAAAACATGATAATATATGGCTGATTTAGTCATATGCATTTCGGGAAGGGAATCATGTTTCCACCCTTACTCGTTTAAAATTTTCCGAACTTTTCGGGAATGGGAATTTGCAATTTTCCATTTGGGAACATTTCTTTTATTCAAACGGGTTCGAGAAGGGTATGGGATTTCCCAATGTTCCCATTAAAAAAAAATGAAAAATAGATATTTTTTTCGTAAATATCTCAATTTTCCCATATTTTTCAGAATTTTCCCGTAAGTTTCCCGATTTAGTAAGACTTCAGGTATTAATTTTTACTCCCAAATATCCCTTCCCTTCCCATTCACATTCTTGTTATTTTCCGTCCCGTTATAATAAGAAAATACTTCATGTACTATATTTGGTTTCCAAATATCCCATCCCTCTCCCGTTCCCATCAATTCCCGTCCTAAAACCTGAAATGCATAGGGCTAGGTGATTTATAGGCCAATTTAATGCTAATATGGGAACATAATATTTATCTGAATCTACTCATAATATAACGACTTCCATATAAGACCTTATATTTATTGGCGACATTATCATATAATTAAAATCTCTAATATAAATTCAAATATTATTTTTTTTTCTAAATTTTATAATTTTGCATGAAATAATTTATTGAAAAAAAATGTTTACAATTAAATTCATTATATATTCATATATATTATATATATGCTCAGATATCCAGTATATTGAAGAACAAAAATTAAATCACTAATTTGGAATTGTTTATATATGTTTTTAGTTTTAAAATGTTTTATAATAATATTTTTTTTTACATAATTTATGATTTTTAAGTGGAAGAATATTGTGGAAGCTCTCTTAGTCCAGTGGTTGGCTAAAGGTTCATTAATAGCTTCTACACCAAGAGGTCTGAGTTTCAATCCCCAAAAGATGCGATTTGCATAAAGAAGGCAAGAACAGATAAGGAAAATTTCCAGAACAGGTTCAAGATAGCTACTCATGGTAGATTCATATAAGGATGGATCTTGGTAGAATAGTTAATTAACCGTTAATAATTATCCTTGTCATTGTCCTCTTAGACCTTATAAAAAAAAAAGTGGAAGTATATTAAAAAAAGATCAACTGATTATATTTATATTAACAAATCTTATATATTAAAAATATATATATAATTAATTTCGAAATATTTATATCACTTTTGATTTTTAAAATATTTTATAATAATTATTTCATGTATTACTTATGTTGTTTAATGGAAGATATATGAAAATATTTAATATTTGTAATTAAATAAATATTAAAATAGTGTACTAATGGCATTGTATGTAAATATTTAGTAAGTGATGTCTTAATTAAAAGTTTTCTTAAGAGTGAATTTGGTGATGACACATAGCAACATGGTATTTTCGTTAATACCACATAAGAGAAATGTTATTTTGATAGTGTTTCTTCTTTTAATATACTAGGGATGAGAGAAACATTATTTTAATAGTGTCTTCTCTTTTAATATATTAGGGATTACAAGGCATCAACTCTTTCACAAGTCTAAATTCTCTCTCTCGTTGCAGGTAAAAGAAAAATGGATATGAGAGAAGCGATGAAGAAGCAAAACGAAGTCGTGATGTTCCTTGCGAAGCACGTATTCGCTTCAGAGGCCACACACTCTAACATCGTCTTCTCGCCTGCCTCAATATACTCTGCTCTCACTTTGGTGGCTTCTGGTCCAGGCGATCCTTATCAGATCCTCTCCTTGCTGAAGTCTTCTTCAACCGATGAGCTCAACGCCGTCTTCACCGAGATCCTTTCCGTCGTCTATGCTGGCGGTAGCGCCGCCAATGGCGGACCGGAGATCTCGTCGGTCAATGGCGTCTGGATTGAGCAATCGCTCTCGATTGATCCTAAGTTCAAGGATCTTTTCGAGAATTTCTTCAAAGCTGCTTTCGGTTGCGTAGATTTCCGATCAAAAGTAAGTTTCCCTTTATAGAACGAGCCAAATCGAATCTAGAATGATTCTTGTGATCATATTGTTTCAAAATTGAAAATAGAGTTATATCTGTTTTGACTAATATGAATTTTGACAAAATCATAGAAATACTTAAAATACCACTAAATTAAGTTTACATTTAAAAAATGGCAATTCTCACAGCTACGCATATGCATATTATTCCGGATCCGAGATCCGGTCCGATCCTACTCATAGCTACCATTAATTTTTTTTTTTTTAATTCCTCTCATATAATTACTAAATTTTTTTTCCATCTCATACCATTTACTCATTCATAAAAGTAATTTTAAAGCATCAAGATTAAGGGGAGGTTACTGGGAGATGGATTTGAAAAAAATATATATATATTTAAGAATCTGTTGTTATTGGTTTATGAAATCTGACAATCTTACTAAAATCCATTGTTATTGGTTTGATGAGTTTTAAATTCCACACAAAATCCATTGTTATTCAAATAGTTTGTGTTTCAATGATTTCAAGAATCCATTAAAAACCCTTGTTATTGGGACATGGATTTTAAACAATTTTACTCATGGAACAAGATTTATTTTTCCTATAACCCTTAGATTTTCAAAATCCATTATAACAGAATATTTTGATTGATTTTATGAATATACAAACTCTCTCCAAATCTAACATAAATTCTTTATAAATTTAACAAATCTCTTAACTTTTAAAATTTATCAACTCTATATGAATTCATCGATGAATGACTAACGATTTTTCAGTTATTACTTATAGAATTCCTACGAATGACTAACGATTTTTCAGTTATTTACGGATTTCCTACCATTTTTCGAATTCCATTTCCTACGATATTATTACGAATAATAGACAGAGATATTGCTGTAAGAAACTCGTAGGAAATTATTGATGACGTTTGTACGGTCATAACGGTTATTTTGTCTTGACCGATTTCCTACGAAGGTTTAACTAAATTTCCTACGAAGGTTTAACTAAATTTCCTACGAAAATTAAATGCGTAAGAATATGGTAGAAAATGTCTGACCGTATTCCTAGGATCTTTTTTCGTAGGAAAGTTCCTACCAATTGTCGACCAACATTATTTTTCGTAGTAATATTGTAAAAAAAGGGTAAAAAATCTTTCCTACAAAACTTTTCATAGGAATGGTCGTAGAAATACACCATGTTTTCTTGTAGTCATCTCCCAATAACCACCCCCCCCCCTAAATCATACTATCAAAACTAAACCCTAAATATTAAACCATAAAACCTAAATTATAAACACAAACCCAAATATTTAAGTTATAAACCCTTATAAAAAAGGTATGACTATATGATGGACTTTCTCTTTCAAAAATATCATAGCTGGTTTTATTTATTCAAACATACACCAATAAAAGATTTTCCCGAAAAATACCACAAACACTAAAAATAATGTTTTTAAAAAGGTTTCTTATTTAAATACTTGGGTTTGGTTTACCAGTATTTTTTCTTTGGGATTTTGTTTAGGGTTAATATTTCAATTTTAGTTTTTAAAGATTCTTTGTAAAATGTCAGTTTAGTGGTATTTTTTGGACTTATTTTGGAACATAAATATTTTTGTGGTATTTAAAAAAATTGTCCCAGTATCGTTGGTTTTTTTTTTTTTTGGTAAAATGTTGGTATTTTTTTGTAGGCCGAAGAAGTGCGTATGGAGGTAAATTCATGGGTTCAAGATCGAACCAATGACCTAATCAAGAATCTTCTTCCTCACGGATCCGTCACAGAAGAAACCGAATGGGTTTATGCAAACGCATTATACTTTAAAGGAACATGGAAGCAGCCATTTGAAGAAGACGACACAAGAGACAGAAAGTTTCATCTTCTAAATGGCTCATTAGTGTCTGTGCCATTCATGACCAGCAATGAAGACCAATACGTAAGCGCCTATGATGGTTTCAAGGTCCTTAGGCTCCCTTTCCTGCGCGGAGGCAATGGTGATACCAACCGCGAATTCGCAATGTATTTCTATTTACCGGACGAGAAAGATGATGGATTGGATAATCTTGTGGATAAGATGGCATCTATTCCTGGATTCTTGGATAGTCACATTCCGAGACGAGAAGTTAAAGTTGGGAGATTGAGAATCCCAAAGTTTGGGATCTCGTTAGGGTTTTTAGTTTCGAAGGTTTTTGATCGAATGGGATTGTGTTTGACGTCGTCATTGTACCATAAGGCTTGTATTAAGATCGATGAATCAGGTGTTGAAGCTGCTGCTGCCTCTGTTGATGAATCCTGTGGTTGCTATTTTGGTATGGAGCCTCCGAAGAGGATAGATTTTGTGGCTGATCATCCGTTTCTTTTCTTGATTAGAGAAGACAAAACTGAAACCGTTTTGTTCGTTGGTCAAATCTTTGATCCCTCGGAATCTTCGTACTAACAGAAATGTGATTGGTATCGATTGGAGTGTGGCAGTAAAATTGTGATATTTTATTCAGTGAAAGCTATATATACAGAACTATACATCGGATCATAAAGAATGTATGCTTTGCGCACCACGTTTAATTTGTAACTGTTTCCTTTTAAAAGTTTCATAAACGGTGGTATTTTTTGTAAAACTAGGTTTTTAACCCGCGCACGCGCGGGTCTCGGTTAATAATTTTATTTAATAACTTAAAAATAATCAAATCTTGTGCATTTTTTTTAATGTACTTAAAAAGAATTGATTATTTCATCCTCCTTTTATTCTTTTATAAGATTATAGATATTTTTAAGAATAATAATAATAAAGCAATTGAAAGGGATAAATGTAGGTTACATTTGATTTTGAGTTCAATTCATAGATCATTTTAGCAACTTTCCAATAATTTTACCTCACTAAAATACTAATTTACTTAATTTCAGTAAAGAATCTTTGTTGATTTCTGTAATATTCTATGGAGATTTGTAGGAACCTCTGAAATCTTTAAAAAAAATTTGATAGTTACTTTCATAATTGTCAACTATCTGCATAAAAATTAGTATATTTCAATTCGAATTTTGAAAATGGGCGTAATGAATTGGGATTTCCCATATTTGGCCGGGTCATTTTGGGGCAAGCGGATATCTTTAACACAACATACTGATTTAAAACCTTAATATATTGTTATCTTGTGTTAAACTTTCGTACAAAAATCCATAATCAGTTTTGTTTTATGATTAGAATCCTAGACTTCGTCGTTTGACAAAACTCATCATAAAATTGGATGTATAAATCTTAGATGTCTTCATTAGACATGACTCGACATACATTTTCATAAATATATTTTTTTTTATGTTTTGTCCATTGCTTCACAAAATTTGGCATAAGAACATTGCATAAAACTTTGATCTTTCAACAATATGACAACATGATCGGCCTAAACAAACATTACTTTTTAATGAACTGAATTAGAAAGTTGTGAACAACAAATTTGTAGTTTGTCTTGTTTTTACTAAACCAATAAAATTTTAATATTGTAGATTATAACATCCTTTAACTTTGTTTGAGAATAACCTATTCAATTAATTTGTATTGTTTATGACAAAAAATAAATTATTCTCTTAGACCACATCAACTTCAATTTGTTTCATAATTTATTTTTAAATGTTTTTAGTATAGAATTCTGATACCCTAGTAGCATCACTTTTTATAAAATAATCATCTTTATTTATTTGAAATTACTATATTCGGTGATAGATCTCGAATATACTTTAAATAGAATTTCATTTGAAGAAAAGCAAAAACAAATACACATTCTTGAAATTCAATTTATTCATCCGTCTTGCTTTCTTCTTTAATCTATTTTTTTTCTTATTTGATTTCTTTATGCTTGAAGTTCTTTTCTTTTTTGTTTTTTTTTAGTCGGTGTCTTCTTTTTCTTTGCGTCATTCTTATTCGATTTATTCTTCATATTCACTGATATACTTGTCTTCTACTTTGCTATTTTTCTTCCACTCGTATTGCATCCTATTTTTTTTCTTGTCTGGTTTCTTCTCTTTCGTTCTTATTTGATTTTTTTTTTTCTTTTTCAGTTTCATCTTCATTGTTTTTTATTCGGTTTTTCTGTCTTCATCGATGTTCTTCTTTGGCTTTCTTTTTTTCTTCCTACTTTAGTATCTCCATCTTCCCTGTTTTTCGGTTTAATCCTCTTATGTACTTCTCCTAAAGGTGAAAAATGATCATGATAGTTCGAGAACTATCATGAATCTATATGTTACTTGAAAAATGATCATGATAGTTCTCCGTAATGATCATCCGAAATAAAATCATTTTTCGGTTTCATTCTCTTACTATACTTCTCCTATATGTTCATCTTTCTTCTTGTTCTTTAATTTCTTTGATGAATATTTCTTGCGGAATAAGTTGTGTGCTGTTTTAACAGTGTCAATTTTATTATAAAAAGAAAATATTTTCTTTAAGTTTGTATATAGAAATATTATTAGCAAATATTTTCTTTAAATTTGTATAGAGAAATCTTTAAAATTAAATATCGTGAAAGCGTTTTTTTTTGTATGAATGTTTAGATATCAGTAAATAGTTGTATTTAACATATTTATTATTTTAAATTATTAAAATGAACTTTTATATGTATTGAAACTTCAAATGCTCTTTTGTTTAATTTATCAATAATTTTAACTTAACACATGTGTTTAGTTTATAAACTTTGATTCAATGTTAATAAATAAAACATAAATAATTTATGTTATTTATAAATTAGGCATAAATAATTCGAACAAAACTTTTGTTTTGATCATGCAACTTGAAATGTTTCCTCATAAACATATGGTATGAACTGAATGATCAAATCTACTATTCTCCAAAGCAATGCAAGTATAATGTTTACTTCTTTGGCCATTATTGTTGAAACTTTTGCGATGAACAAAGTGTTATCTAGTGGGCTAGATGCATGTTTTACTTCCATTAATGTAATAATGACACTCTCAAAGTTGATCTCTCTCATCATCTAAAAAAACTACATATGAGCTAAAATGTCTTCTACATGACATGAGACATTTTTTATTTTCTTTTAATTTATTTTTAGACTATGTAATGTGATCCACTTACAAAATTTGTTAAGTTCGCTATGAACAATTCTCCTTATTATGGTGTAACTCTCGTTTTTGTGATTAAAAAAACTAACTCATGATCTATATAATTCTTCATAACTAATTTTGTAGTTCTCCAAATGTTTTTATATAAATATTTCAAATTTAGTTATTAAATCAACGTCAACTTTTAACAAAAATCAAAGAATTTTGTTTAATCTTTGGATTTTATTTGTGATGTTTTTAATTCCAATCTTGTTATATTTTGATTGTTATATATATATATATTAAAATTAATAAAAAAAAATAAACATGTTAAGTTAGTTTCATTTTGCTTGGTATGAAAAACATATATTTTATTTTATAAACTCTTTAATACAAAAAGTCTATATTATTTTTGAATTAGGAAACATTCTTGAAAAAGAAAAAAGAAATTACCTTATTTTATATGGTGATGTGGAATTATACTATTGGTCTTTTAAATTTCGGAAACTTTCTTAATCTTTAAGATGCTTACGTGAACCAATGAAATCGCGTCTTTAAATCCTATGTGGACGCTTATTTGTTGACCTCGTTTTTTTGTTCCTGGCAGAAACTTGGACACAATAGATAATTAAAACATTTGTATACTTATAATAATCGCATTATATTGAAGTTCGATATAATGTTTACTCCTTAATCCCTTTTCTAGAAAGCATCGAACGTTGGCCATTGATGATGACTGATGCGACATGTAGTTGTTTGATTTGGAAAGTCTAATGTAATCCCAACTTTAGCAAGTGACTCGAAACATTTAGCAGCCATTAATACAATGGGATAGTGCATTATGGTTTTAATAGATAATAAAACAGTTGTCGGAAACATGTCTTTGATTATGCCTCTTATCCTATTCGGGTGGTTTTATTAATTCACGTGGGTCTCAATTATCAACTCAAAAATCATCATTTGAGCCAACATTTTATAAACCGGATTAAATCAACAGCATTTGATTCTCCAATATCATTTGATTTGTTTATTCTTTACAATATTTGATAATGTCGTGAGAATCTTGAACCTTGTGCTTTACATTACTTCAACTTGTGATTCAATTCAACGAAATTATAAGAAGAAACCCAAATCTGCGTAATCATCCAAAAACATTGCTCACATGTGGTGGGTACATGAAGACACACAAAATCATTGCAGGCTTTGTTGCCAAATCTGAAAATGAACTCTCCTTACATAATGTTATTTGTCAAATAATTTTCAATCTAATATTTTGAATGATTATATTTTGATAGTTCATAGATTATTATAGTAAATTTAGAGATATTGTTCTGATTTGTTATTAAATTTTACAAACATATCACTTCCCTAAAGTACTATGGAATCGTTAAAACTTAAAACTCAATTGTCTCCAAATACACCCCCAAAAATTGTTTGGTTGAATACAAATCATTATAAATGTATGATCCTGAATACATCCCAAAATTATAACTATATAACTATTTGGTTTAATTTTCTCACCTTTTAATTCATACAAATCGATATATTTTTATATATTAAAAAAATCATACATAATTTTCAGTTTGTCAAAATAATCAAGCTAAAAATTCTAGAAATTCTGCATAGCACGTAATACAAGACTGATTTGATACGTCATTTTCGTATGTATTTTTAAATGTCAACTTTAGGCCCAGAAATGTATATGTGGTCGTCGTCGTCACATCACATCAAAAAAAAATCTTACCAGAAAAGTTCGTTGCCTCCTAATTTTTGTTTAAAAGCCTTTAAACTAATTAAAAATAGTAAATTTTAAATTAAAATCAGATAATTCATTATCATCTGAAAAAGCTTATTAAGTGTCGTCCCCTCCGAAAAAAGAGGAGGAAACACAGGAACCTAAAATCCCTCACGTATATTGCCTCTCTCTCTCCTTTCCTTTTTCTTCCATGGCCAAAATGGAACCTAGCAGCTTCTCTCTGGCCATCGCTCTTCAATCATCTTCTTGAAGCTGCTTCCTCCTACTTTCCTTAATTTCCGATTCTCCATCTTCTTCTTCCTCTTCCTCCTTTTTGTTTTCGTTCCGATTTTGAAAAAATTCTCCGATCTCTGTAATCAAATCGAGAGAGAGAGAAAATGGCTCAATCCTGCCTGAAAATCGTTCGGATCAACAATCTCAGGAGTAGAGTGAACCGTCGGATTTTGATTCTCCGTCGATTCACGCGGCTGCTTTGGAGTAGAATCGTCGCTTGCACTCCCGGGAAATCCAGGAGATATCTGTTGCTCTCTCGCGCCCTTCCGTCTCCGACTGTCTCTCGTCCCCAGCCTCCTCCTCCGGTCCCCGCCGTGGACGTCGTTGGCGGTGCTGGTGGTGAATTAATCGTACGCCACACACCGGTGTACGACCGCGATAACAGCCACCGGAGATCGGATTCCGATCTGGTTTCCCTGAAGATCAGCCTCTTAGGAGATCCCGAAATCGGAAAAACTAGCTTCCTGGTTAGTTTACAACACCGAATCAAAATCATTCACGTCTCTTTCAATTTCGATTCAAAAGTTGAAAATCCCTAAAAATTCGGTTTCCGTCACAATCATCCCAATTTTTCTCAGAAAACATTCGATCTGTCATTTTCGATTTTGAATTGATGAGACTTTTGTGTTGATTGATTTTTGATTAATCTGGAATTAAGCAAGATTAATCTGAATTTAGTTTGATTTTGAAATTTTGAAGACGAAATATGTTGGGGAAGAGAAAGAAGTAGAAATGATAGAATTGGAGAAAGGAATCAATTGTACGGATAAGACATTATCCATGGGAGGAGCTCGAATTTCCTATAGCATCTGGGAATTAGAAGGTAAATTTATCATCGTTAATCCATAAAAACTTGGAAGATTAATTAATTAGCTTAAGCTAATAAAGCTTAATTAACATTTTTTAACAAACAGGAGATGAGAAATCAAGGGATCAAATCCCTTTGGCCTGCAAAGACTCTGTAGCCATTCTCTTCATGTTCGATCTAACCAGTCGTTGCACACTTAACAGGTTGATTAATTTATTATTTACTGTTTATAACTAATTAACTTTGCAATTTGAAGCTAAGCTTGCTTTTATCTTTATCATTATGCAGTGTGATTAGCTGGTATCAACAAGCTAGAAAGTCTAATCAGGTAAAGATCTTTAAACATATCACACTAATCAAACTAATTAAAAAATCGAAACTTCATCTCTGATTAATGTTTGTGTGTTCATTCAGACGGCGATTCCAGTTATGGTAGGAACAAAGTTCGATGAGTTTATTCAGCTTCCTATTGATCTACAATGGACAATTGCTAGCCAGGTAACGTTTTTTAACCAATCATATGAATCAAATTTAGAAACAAATATATGCATTGAAACTCATTTTACATTGTGAATCTGTATGAACAGGCGAGAACATATGCGAAGGCTTTAAACGCGACGCTCTTCTTCTCAAGTGCTTCTTACAACATCAATGTAAATAAGATCTTCAAGTTTGTGACGGCGAAGCTATTCGACTTACCATGGACGGTGGAGAGAAATCTCACCATCGGAGAACCACTTATCGACTTCTAGCATCTTCAAAAAACGTATTTGTAGATAAACATTATAAAAGAAGCGAATCCGAGGATAGGCGTTTTTTTTTCTCTTTATCATTCACCGCTCCGGTCGCTGCCGTGGGACTGATCGGACCACCGTTTCTAGCCGTATTTAAAGCGAATTGGAGAGATGAGGCGGCGGAGATTTCGCCCGCTTTCTCCATTAGTATCTGTTTCTTTTTTTTAAAACCAACAAAGACGAAAAAAAAAGGAAAAACAGAGAAAAATGGTACTCGAGAGATAGAAAAAGTAAGAGAGGAGAGGAAAAAACAGAGTTCGTGATTTTTTTTTTTTCTTTTTCTTTGTGTAATTTTTCGTTTTCGGTTACCGCTGGAGAATTTTGGTTCCAGTAAATTCTAAATAGTAAATACCATTTCACTTTTCAGTTTTAACCTGTGATCTGTTATTACTCGATCTAAGTTTCAAGCTTATTACTGTGGAGGTAGAAAAAAGTTATATCTGTCTATATAAAGAATATGTGGTTCTTTGACTTTGAGGCATGATGTCAGTTCATATGAGGATGGAATGGATTTGAAACGAACAATCAAAAAATTTATGTCTGTCTCCATTTGAACTTTTGAATTCATCCGATCGCATTACTTTTATGTCACTACACTAGTTATGAAAAAATTCATGCTATTGGACCATATTATACTATTAAAAGTGTTTATTACACAAATTCTCCTTATAAAACTCTTCTATCATTTTGTATCTTATAAAACCATTTTTTTGTACTTTTGAACTTTCCTACTTTTTGGTTTTGAATGTTAGTGTCAGGAAGAACTTCGTCCATTTGCATAATTATTGTGTCACTCTACTTATTATAACAAAATTTCATGTTATTCGACTATTTTTACTACTAAAGAGTGGTAGGTTATGCAAATTCTCCCAATTAGAGTATTACAATACATCTTCAAGCCGACGACAGTCTCATCGTATTACATCACATGTTTCGTCATGTTTCTGCACATCACATCCAATAAGTACAAGTGTTATCATTCTGTAACGGCTAAACGATAAAAGATAGTCTTCTTTATTTGACGTTGCCATTTTCACGCAACATCAAAAGTGGCCAAGTTCAACGAACTTAACATTCCTCCTCCTCTATTTAACTTTGGTTGTATTAGAGTTAAAAATTAATATAACAAACATCAAATTACTTCTCTTTAACAACCTTGTTTCAACTATTCAAGTCTTTATTCCTTAAAGTAGCAAAAGAAATTCAGATGGCCACATCAGGAAAACGTTTTCTTGAGGCAGTTTGTCACAACGCAATCGGCCGTGTGTCGTACTTTTCACACCTGACCAAATCCTTTTATGGGTTTTGTTTTTATTTAGAAATTTATTTATTCCATTCATCGTGGTTTTGTGTTGTTTTGTCTACGTGTGATTCGACCATATCGTAAAATCGTTTTACATAACGTATAATAAACTAATACTACCACTATACTTAATCAATGTTTTTGACTTACATAAATAAATTTAGTCGAAAGCAATGTCTCAACTAATGATATAGAAATGTCTGCAAATCAACTATTAGTTGGGCCAAATCTCATCTAAGACTGATAATGGGTCAAACCGATTGATAAAAACATCATGGAGAAGAATAAAATCTTACAAATCTTACGCTTAACAATATATGCTAATGTTGAAAGAGAATTTGTGTTCTTCCTCCTAGTTATATGATGTATTATAATCCACAAGAATCCATGTATTTGTATAAATATGCAAAAAAAAAAGTTAAAGAAATATGCAAACATTTTGCTTTTTAAATAGAAATGGTAACCGCAGGATCCCTAGGCGAATTTTACCATGATTTTGTTAATGGATTGATATTTTTACTTCACACAAATAATTATCAGTTATGTTGGAACATAATTTTCTAAAGATAGCTTAAATTAAGTCACACTTGTTCTGAAGTCCGTCGTTGGCTTTTGGTTCTCCATAAATAATTTTGATCAACGCATTGGGACCCATGTGTGACCACATCAAGATTCCGATTGTTATCTCTCCAATTAATTTTATTTCGCTTTTTAAATATACCATCAAAATTTAACCTTTTATTCTCTATATATACACAACGCAACCACTCAAGAATTATTCCATTTTCTTTTGGGTTATTCCTTCTCCTCCACATAATGGATACATTTTCTTGTAATTCTTATGAATCAAAACACGCCTCCTTCGACCATCATGATGATGATGGTGTTGATATCGATGATCATGACCATCATGGCGATCATCAAGAGGAGAGTGGATGGACAACTATTTTGGAAGATTACTCAAATCAAAACAGAACTCATTATGAAGAAAGCGATCAAGACAAGAGTTCTTGTTCGCTCCTTGGCGTATCTCCTTCTCTTGTCTCCGACGCTGCAACGGAGGGCCGGAGTATTCCGGTTAATTTTCCGGCGAAGTTGAAGTTTGGTAGAGCAAGAACCAAAAAGATTTGTGAGGATGATTCTTTGGAGGACACGGCTAGCTCTCCGGTCAATAGCCCTAAGGTTAGATACTACTTAACATAATCCAGTTATAACCTGAACCATGATTGAAGTTTTATGATTGATTATCACTCAATTATTTTCAACAATTTCTTCTTTCTTTTTTATTTTAGTTCCCTTTGTGGTAGTTAGAGCATATGTGTAATTTTTATATGATTGATATTGAACAGGTCAGTCAGTTTGAACATATTCAGACGCCTCCTAGAAAAATTGAGGACTATGTCTCTTCTAGTTTCGCTATGGTAATCTCTCTACCTTTCTTTCATACAATAAATTTATGCGATTCTCTATCCATTTGAATTTAAATTCATTTATATATAACCAATATGGAAAGGATTGAGATGTTTCTTTTTGCATAATATATCAAAGATAGACTTGGTTGTGTATTATTAGATTGACTGAATGTTTAATTATTTGTTTAATTAAAAGGAAGGTTCGATGATCTTTTCGTATTGATAATGCTTACATAATATTTGATGGATATAACACGTAAATTTTTTTTTTTTTTTGGTAAAAATATAACACGTAAATATGTTATTGAAACGGTGACGATAGGAAAATATGAGACGCATGGGGGATCATCAAATCCAAATGCTAGAAGGCGATGAACAAAAAATGACGATGATGAGGAATCTCAGAGAAGGAAACAACAACAACAACAATAATATGGATTTGAGGAGTAGAGGTTTATGCGTCGTCCCTATTTCCATGTTGGCTAACTTTAACGGTCGCTTCTGAATGACAATCTTCTATAAACATCCTTGTAAATTTGGTGGTGTTTTTATCTGTACCCATCTTGTATATATTTGCTTGATGTGTGTACATTTTTATGGGTATGTGCTGAATTACATATGTATAGCTTTTATGTACATATATAAGTGCATATCGGTGGGATATTTTTAAGGTATACAACGTATATGTTTGTAAACAATATTAAGAGCTACCATCTCATTATAAAGCGTATGAAAGCTTTTGCAAATACAATTACGATTATTTCTATCTTTAAAAAAAAAAAGTTTTGAGAGAGTTATATCTACGTTAGGTTACAAATATACTATGCATATGCATGTTGTACCTTATTATGGCAGATTATATGGTATGGATGGTAAGCAGAACTAAAACTTCGTTCAACGTAAGGTAAGATAAGATAAGATAAGATTATACGATCGAGGGAAATTAATATCTTCACAGAAGGTTGGTACAATTCCTTTGTTTGATAATAAAAAGTTTGGGGTCATAGAATTCATCAATCTCACTAATTTATTAATTGATATATACATTATTTAAAATTATATTTGTGGTTTCACATATTAATCAAAGTCTGACCAAATGTTTGGCATATTTATATGAACCCTTGGCCGTCCCAGCTCCAAACATAAAAAGCTACTTGGTACTTAATATGTTACATAGTAATTAATAACCAGATCAAATTCATTATCCAAATATATATACTGTGTGCATCTCTCTCTCTCTCTCTCTAATTTTTATGCATAGTATATAATAAGTCATATATATGTATGTGTATACTAATATATTCCTTGAGATGCTTGGAGGAATAAGAGACTTTCTTCCTCTTCAATTAAATATTTGCAAATTATATATAGGTTAACGGCATCTCTAGATTTGGCTAAATTATTATTTTTCTTGCACCCGTTAACCAAACCTTCGTGTTAGGTGATCGATCAAGTCCTCACCAATAATCATTTCTTATTGTAAAATAATCTTATCGAAGACATTTAAAGCCAAAAACAATATCTATCACATTATATGATGAAGAATTCCATTGTAGTCTTCAGTCGACGATATTTGATGTTTTCCGTTTGGTTCTGAAACGTGTTAGATGAAGCGTCTAATCAAACCGGTTATGATTAGACGTAATATTAATTGCTGCTTAAAATGAATTATCATTTTGTTAGTTCCTTTCAATATTGATTAAGAAGCTGATGTTCGATATTTTAACGGATTCAGGTAATTTCCCAGCTGCTCAACGTGCTTAACGAGCTCGATATGATGTTTCAAACTTGATAATATAGCACTTAAAATTAGTCCTAAAATATCATTAATTAAAGGTAAAAGATCAATTATTTCAGGCTGTATATGACAAACTAGAGATTCCCACGCTTCCAAGAAAGTTAGAATAGTTACGAACTATTGGAGATAGAAAGCAACCTTAAATCTCATCTTTCATGGATTCATTGAATTTTCCTCTTTGTTTTTATTTTCCTGTTTTCAACGATAAAATTATTTATGTTTGCCATTTAGGGTTTTTGACGAGAGATATAGCTTTCCTAATATCATGAAAATTATGAAAACATTTTTCTACTACTACTACTACTACTATTACTGTACGAATCCGTACATATGTATAGTCCTATTATAGGCGCCCTTGTATATGTAGAAAATTGAGTTATAATCTGGTTGGATTAGCTAGAAGGATGTATTCTTACAATTAACATTTGTAAAATTTTCATCCAATAACATTTAGAGAAGTTCCTTCTGGGACGCAATCCCCCTTGCTAATGACAATCGTGTTGCATAATTTAAGACAAGTCATAAACTTGCCGGCTACATGTTTAAATATATACTTTTGTCTGTAGGACTTTTGGTAGTTACAAACTTACAAATCCCATATTTTTTTCTTAATTAGATTATGAGTTTCTGATAGTAACAAAACTCATCTCTCTCTGAATTATGATTTTCCAGCGATGTTATATATTATTTATATGGTCAGGCCTTTTTCTGTTGAACCAACGATGACCGTCGATCAACAAGACTAGGAACAATGACTCATCGACTTATCGTCAGCACAAGACTAGCTAGTACCAATGACTGGCCGTCTGGTTTTCAGTGTTAAACCAATAATAATGACTAGCCGTCATCAGCTATGAAGACTTTAGACTTACCGTTAGTGGTATGAGTACTGTATGAGAAATCTATTTTGCGTGCGATATAATTATATGGTAGTCAGGAACATGTTAATTGTTATTGTCGCTTCACTACAAAACCCTAGCCAGGAGATACTATTGCAGAAAATCATGTTGGCTTCAAAAAAATCTAAAATCTTAAAGCCCTAGTTAACAATAAAAGAGAGAAAGATTGATGAGATGATCATGACGAGTGGTTGCGATTGTTTCAATTGCTATCATTAACTGAGGCAATTTTTATGGCATACACTGATAAACATTAGTCTAGGGAAACAATCTCCAAAATAAAAAATGTTATAGGACAAACTTAAAAATGAGTCATTTAAACAAATTAAAATGTGTTTACCAAATTTTATGAAGTTTTAAATTGAAAATAATACTTCTAATTGATTTAACAAATATACGACAAAGAAAATAAAAAATGCGAGTCACGCGAGAATTGTTTTGTTGTATCACAATGCATGAACCCGAATACAAGATGGGAAAAAAAAGGAATATAACGCGTGATTGCCGGGAGGGGAATTTAGTTTGGTGCTACGATGGTCCGACTTATGGGACCCACTGCTTGGCAAATATATCCCTAATCTTTCAAATTATGCTAATTAATCCCATGTGCAAAGTTCCCAACTCTTTGCTTTATTGTCAAAGGTTGATTCCGTTTACATTCGCCGGGAATTCATGTCATCCATTGAAATTCCTTTGCTAGAAAAAAAAAAAAAAAAAAGTATTACAATTTTGATTCACGGGTTTTGTTTTTGTCAATGGCAATACAACAACCGTCTATATATCTACTACCTCTACTTTTTCTAGTGTTTTTAACTTAGATTTTGATAATGTGTAACTCAATATTCACATTCTGACCAAGAAGAAAAGAATAAAAAAAAACACATTTCTAAAAACAAACGCAAACAATATTCACATTTTTAATCAAGTTGATTTCTCATCTGGTTTACAACGAAACAAGAAACTGAATCGCTAATATAATAAGCATATCAATCATTACATAACCAAAGCCAATAACACCAAATTCCAAATATCCATACAAAAGAAGCAAACCCATAAAATACTGCCCCAAACTCTTAAACCGAATTATTACGTAGAAAAAGAAGTGAACACAATAACAAAGATACATTTTTATTGTCTTTTTCTTTTCTCTTTTACTCGAGTGTCCAAAGATATACTAAAGATAGTGTGGTTTCCAAGCTTTCATATGAAGATGCCGAACCGCTTTGGTCGCACCACCGCAGTGAACGTATGTCTTACATTCTGGACTTGGCAACCACAAGGCTTGTCCCTTCGCCCATTCCAGCAGCTCCTGGCCTTGTCCAACTCTCCTTGAACTGTTCCTCAGTAACACCTATATGCCAAAAAAAGATTATTTAACAACAAAATTATAAACATTTGATATAGTGGAAAACACTGCATGCATACAAAAGTGTAATAGAAAAGGCTAGAGTTATGTGTGTGGAAAAATAGAAAAATAAAAATTACATACCTTTGCCCATGGCTGCAGTGGAGGAGATTCCACCTTGGACTGTCTTAAGATAACGATCATAGTAATTAGCACCTGACCATTTCTGATGAGCCAAAGTGTCAACCCCATTGCTCCTCTCTTCTCTTTGTATCCTCTCCACATAAGCCAACATCCCTCTCCTCGCGTAATCCTTTGCAAATGTATCAACCACAAGAGCATCCGCATGGAAACCGGCAAGCGTTATGAACTGCCAGCAATACCCGAGCTTAGCAATTCGTGGAATGAATTCCACCATCTGCTGATCCGTCATGCCGGAAGCATCCCAGTTGAAGGAGGGCGAGAGGTTGTAGGCGAGCATGACCTCAGGTGTCTTGGACTTGACTCCTGCTGCGAATTCTGTGCATTCGCTGAGGTCAGGGCTAGCGGTTTCCATCCAAATGATGTCCGCGATCTGCGCAAAGGCCCAGCCACGGACCACAGCCGCTGCAACTGAGCCCTGGAACCGGTAGAAACCTTCTCTGGTTCTTGGTAAGTCCCAGTCCCAGAAAAGATCCGTCACACCGAGTTTTGCTGCTAACTCACGGCCTTGCTCGTTTGACAAGCAGTTCTCATACCTGATTAGTCCAACATTAGCTAACGTGTAGTTATAACATTTTTATAACATTGTAAAAATCTCAATATATAGTGCTAAATTATAAAATCACACTTTAAAAAACTTCTATGCAACTAGTACATCAAGTTTTTTTTTTTTGGTTGAAGTAGTAAATTTTGTATCTAAGATGAAAATACCACGGCTTTATATATAAAAAAACTAATGAGCATGACTAAAATTATAAAATTTCCTAATTCCTAACTGATTATAAAATTATATGATTTTTTTCCGGACAGTTTATATATATTCTTAATTACTTGTCCGTTTTACCTTGCATGGTTTAGCCACTCGTTCACTCTCCGGCTCTTCTCATTCTCATTGAGGTTCATGCGCTTGAGAGCCTCCACGACAGCTTCCGAGAAAGTCATGAGACGTGCCGAGCTAAGCCACTGATCTTCAATGGATTGCAACGCGGGACCGTTCTTGCCTACAACCATTCCCTCGGCGAGAAGCGAGGACAAACTCTTGCCTTTAAGGCCCGGGTTAGTGACACCGAGGATGAACTGGTGGTCCCTCGCGTCAATGTTCGACTGGATCAGTGTAGCCGCGACTGCATCCGTTCTAGCGACCAGAACAGTCTCTGTGCCCATCACATCAAACTGAAGGCGAGCCGCGACAAGGCGGTTGATGTGTTCGCTGACTGCCACGAGGACTTTTCCCGCCATGTGGCCGCACTTCTTGGTGACGGATGACTGGTCCTCGATGTGGACCCCAGCGGCACCTCTCTCCACGAAGAGCTTGCAGAGTTTAACGGTGGCGGTTGTGCCACCGAAGCCGGTGTCTCCATCGGCGATGATGGGCTTCAGGTAGTCAACGAACGGAGTTTTTGTCCTCTCTTCTCTGCTCATGCTCATTCTGGCCTCCCTCTGCTTTCTGCAAGAAATATACATATTCATGGTTATAGTTAATTATACAACTAAGAGAGATTATGTATTGTTTATTACCAATTTTCTATCAAAACCTGATGAAAATTGTCTCACATTATATAACTTGCTTCAATGGTCTAAAACCGAATATTTCGGAGATTAAAACCGGATGCATGCAACGATAATGAAAGTGTCTCACATTATCCATAATTGAATATAATTAACGATCTCTAATATACATAGTCTTTGGACGACCAAAAAACGGATTAGTGCAAGTAATTTTCGACTAAAATATCATGTTTTTTCGGATAGTTCACGTTAGGGTAATTTGTCTGAATTATAACGTGTGGAAACTTTAGTTTGACAGACCATCAAATTATTTATAACACGTGGCAACGTAAGACATTGAAAGAAGCAATTTCGTAACCAAAAAGCACCACCGATAACAGCCATAATATAATAATTTAATTAGCTTTTGTCACGAAGTAGGTATTCGAGACCAAATTAAGTTCGCACTATAATTTCTTAGCTCAAAGCTAGTTTTCATAACATGCATCCATATCTAGCTAACTTGCTTCAACTAATAGGAAAAATTACCACTATCCATCGTATAATTGCAATTCAATAACTTATTAGCCATAATTTAATTTACCTGTCGTGGTACTGTTGAGCGAAGAAGAGATGTTCGACTTTGTTAGGAACGGTGTCGTACGGATAATCAGCGAGATCCGGACCAGGCTCGTTAGTGGAAGTGTGAGTAGACGAGCACTGCCAACCAGAGACATAGATAGTGTCCAAATGTTTAGCCATCATGGTCACCTGAACAGGGTCCAACGCACCAAACGTGCGAGAGGCCGTGCCATTGGCATGGTGGCTCTTGAGCGTTCTCCACAGCTTCTTAGCCATCTCGTTCGAAGCATAACCTTGCTTGAGATGGCCACGTAGAGCCACCACGTCACGGGCTGTGTAAGGACGCCTTGTTAGCTTGAACCTCTCTGAGCTCCACCAAGTCTGCACCTCCGCAACCTCCGCCTCGAATCTCCCTTCTTCTTCCAGTATCTAAATTAACATGTTAATCTCAATTAGTATATGTCGTATCTAACATCATCAAATAAATGAATAAAACAGATTATTGCAACATTGATGAGAAGATTTAATGTTGTTATACCATAGAGGGGACAGAGAACGATGCAGCCATGGCTTCAGCTAATTTTATAAACTGGAAATGATTTTGCTTTGTAAGGACTTATGAAACTAGAGAAGCTTCAAGCATGTTTCTCTTCTTGCCTTTCTTCTCCTTATATACTAATTTCTGAATAAGAAAAAGTTATTATTTTATGAAGATATTCAAATATGTAGATGAATTTTGAAAATGAGATATTTAATATTGAAAAAGAAAAAATACCTACTTGTGCTGATGTTAGATAATTACTTTTCCCAAGTTGGTCCAATTTGTTTTTTTTTTTTTAGTTTAATATTTCTCTAAACTTAGTAAATAATTGTGACACGTATTATGGGATTATGGCAGGAACGAATTATCATTTGACATCCTTATATTCGTTGTCTCTTTTTTTTTTTTTTTTTTTTTTTTTGAGGTCATTAAAAATAACAAATGTGATGTATATGTGGTTCGAACTTCGAGTCAAGAGTATGCACAAGTAAAAATGCTAGGGATTTCTAATAAGGACATTTGTATCAAACATAAACCCGCCCGCGTGTGTTGGTTAAGGCCTTTGAGAATATGAGACATTCATAACGTAAATTAAATTCGCTAAGATTCTGAATCCGATTATTCATGTTTTGCTGGTATTGTATAGCAAAGAGGCATAACATCCCGAAACTATTCGGACTTGACCTTCTAGAGACGATCTATACATGTCGTTCTACTAACTTGAACTTCACACGTTTGATCAACAATACACTTGCGAAATGTAGATCAATTGTACCATACTGCAACTAGTGATAGACATTACCAAAGAAATGAGCATTAGCATTGTTAATACATGTTATAATATGCTGTCAACATATCATTCTAAGTATAGCTAGGGCTCACTCAATTTGATATAACCAAAGTCATTATGCTGGGTTACACTCTTTTAGTTGTTGTTATTTTGGGACAGCTACTTGTTTTGTAATAATAATTGAAGTGGGTAAAGTTTTGAAAATCGTATCTTCATTCAACATTGAATAAAATTCTAAAACAAATCGTTATGTTTCCCGAGGAATATAGATAAACCCTATCTCGCTTTGAATGGACTCGCATATTACAAGCGACTTGGCAATCCTATCTTTACATTTTTTGTTGCTGTCGGGTTCCTTGCTCCTCACTTTTTCTTTTTGTTTTTTTTTATTAAAAAGTTTTAAACATTTCCGTTTAACTCCTATTTTATTTGATATTTTTGATGGGCCCATAAACCAATACAATATTTCTTTTTCCCAAATCAGTGTGCTTGTAAATGTATAGAAATCCAATCTAGTAGAGCGATTTAAGTTTTTACGAGCAAACGGACAAAATTACTTAGCACACCCGTCATGGATGAAATCATGAAGCTACATGAACGTGGCGGTAGTTACGTCACTTTACATACATAACTAATTTTCTTGCTTTCAAAGAGAAAATATGAATTAAATATTGTATACAGATAACATATTTGGATTTATATTGGAACTTTGACATAGGAACGTGTGCCATGGGATGGGCTTTGTGCTCTCTTTAGGGTTATAACTCTCAATCATGTAAATCAATAACACATTCTGGTTTAGCCATTACCGGAACCCCAAGCCAACACATATAACTACTGAACACATGTTCAAATACCTTGTGAATTAATGATAAATTTCAATTTCAATTTCAAACTTTGTTAGCGTAATATTCTTATACAAAATATGAAGTTTTTGCCATACCTATCTTTTGGCATTGTTATATAACCAATTCATGATTGCCTGTTCAAGATATTATCTTATTATTGCAAGTCGTATCATATAATAGAGAAAAGAAAAATGGTCGTCAACGACCGAAATTTTGTACCATGAAGTAACCGGTTAATGCTGGACAAAAACAAACGGTTAACTGCTAACCAGGATCAGAAATCAGCCAATGGGCTTCAAATTCCAGCTTCACAGCTTTATGATAATGTCCACATAATAGACAAGTTACACAACGATTTGGGCTATACTCTCTACGCTTCGAGATTGCAAACAGAATTCGTAAAAGGAAACGATAAACCTTGAGGCTTCATCTCACAAGCGTAATGAGTAGGAACAACCGCACCGGCGTGGCTACAAAGGCTCACAACAGCAGGGGCATGTCCATAATAACTACGCCCTTCGTCCACAAGAACCACCGGGTCCTGAGGCCTCCGGTGCCACACAACTTTCTCCGGTACCAAATCGTTCACACCAGCCTTTTCCCAGTAATGTGTGCCACGAAAGCTCTCATACTTGAACACACCACATAGCCGAGCTTTATGACCACTCAGTCCCACGTGAACCTCTTTGCAATGTTTACAAACTTTCGAAGGATAAACAAGCAAAAGCTTCTTCAAACCAGCTCTCAGCTTCTCCCAAGCCATCAAAGCGTTTGCTCCAACGTACTTGAGATCTTCCGTTGGTATGCTCCTGATCTCTTCATCAGAGATTTGCGGGTAATCGTGGCTTTTCGAGTATTGCAAGATCTCTTCTGGATGGATAGCTCCTGCTTGGCAACATAGCTCCAAGATCGCGGGAACACGGTCGTAATCGAACCTCTGCTGGTGTCTGATCACACCTTGTGACATGCTGCGTAAGTGGAAAGACTCGACAGGCACAAGAACGTCGTTTATAGAGCCTGGAACCCATTCGTGTAGCCTGTTGTTGCCACGCCGTATGTAGCTACGGCACGTTTGAATCAAATGTCCTTCTTTGCCAACGAATACTTCAGAGCAGAATCTGAAAAATTTGAAGCTTTTTTCATCAAGCAGAGTACTTTTTATCCAATAGCTTAAAGAAGAAAGAATATGAAATGATGAAACTTACTTGCAAGTCAAGACAGGGAACAGTTTGAGAAGCACTGTGACGTTAGAGAGTAGATTTTTCCTGGCTTTGAGGATTTCTTCAGCAACAGGAACAATGTCTCTAATCGGATACTCTTTTGCTCTGTTTTCGATTCTTCTTTGAATCATTGGACGGATTCTTCTAAGGTCGTTAAGCTTTGCTTTGTTGATTCTTGAAGGAGTTGTTGAGTAAGCAGCTCCTTGAAATGAGATCAAGTTTCGCCACAGTTTCTGTCTCCAATTCGCCATGACGAAGAGTAATCTACACAGAGAAAGAGGCAAATGATTCGATTCATCGATCAACACAAGCACAAAAGGGACAAAGTATGGATTTTTTGCTTCAACCATCGCAACCTTATTGTACCAAATGAAAAATGGCTTCAGCTACATAGATCCTAATAGCTATATAGAATTACAAAAACAAGTGAGACATTTCGTCGAGCACCTTATGCTCAATTTCAACGGAGAGACATGTTATGGAGCAAATTCGAGAATGATGAAAGCAGAGTAAGCTCTATAACGTACCTGATTGACAAAGTCAACCGATCACTTGAAAAATCATGTACAGACAAATGTTTCCCGGAGAAACGACGCCGAATATTTTCCGAGCGACGGCGACGAAGAGGATCGCATCGTCGGGAACAGAGGACTTGTAGATTCGCATAAATCTGAAACCCATTAAAAGGCCATGTTTGGGCCGTATAGTATGGGCCTAACTTATAAGAAAACAGCCTATTAATTGGGCTGTACCATCTATATTTGTCTTCGCATAATTTTAAAATTTTGTTTTGTTATTTTTATCATAAACTGATAAATTTAGTAATTTAAATTATAGATTTACTAATTAATTAAAGAAAACTAACAATTATTTCCTATTTTTAACAAAATTCATTTGTGTGTTAAACGCTTGTACAATTCATTAATTTTCTAAGGACTTTACAAGGAAAATCAATAATTTTCTACGAATCATATAAGGAAGTTTGTGAATTTAAAGCTTTACATGAGAACCACAAACTTTAACTATTACTACAGTACTACTTATTAATTACAAACAGTATACTACTTGTTAATTACATAACCGACAAATCTCCATTTCGAAAAAGCTTGAATCCAAAGAAGACATCATGAAAATCGAGCTAGTGTTCATACCATCTCCGGGCATCGGACATATCCGATCAACAACAGCAATAGCAAAGCATCTCGTAGACAGCGACGACCGCCTCTCCATCACTCTCATCGTCATCCCTTCACAATTCTCCACCGACACTTCTTCCTCTTACCCGGAGTCCCAAGGCCGTCTCCGTTACTGCCTCCTCCCTGCCGGAGATCAGTCAACAGAAGAACATACCTTCATTTCTTACATCGAGAGCCATAAACCACACGTCAGATCCACCGTCTCCGAACTCTCTCGCAAGATCTCGACACAGGGAAGTCGCCTCGCTGGAATCGTCGTTGACATGTTCTGCACGTCAATGATGGACATCGCCGATGAGCTCAACCTCCCGGCTTATATCTTCTACACGTCGAACGTTTCCTATCTCGGTTTGCAGTTCCACGTTCAGTCTCTTTACGACGAGAACATACTCGACGTGAGTGAGTTTAAGGACGACTCGGAAGCTGAGTTTGACGTTCCCACTCTGACTCGGCCTTTTCCGGCCAAGTGTTTGCCTTCGGTGATGTTTCGCAAAGAGTGGTTTCCGTATGTTTTGGCCCGAGCAAGATGTTTGAGAGAAGTAAAGGGTATTTTGGTAAACTCAGTGGCAGAGATGGAGCCTCACGCGTTGAAGTTCTTTTCCGGCGGGAACGGTACTCCTCCGGTGTACACGGTGGGACCTATTTTAGACCTCAAGGCCGACGGCAGCGGCAGCGATTCCGAGGATGAGAAGAAAACAGAGATTTTGCGTTGGCTAGATAAGCAACCGCCAAGATCGGTGGTGTTCCTATGCTTTGGGAGCTTGGGAGGCTTTGGTGAAGAACAAACGAGAGAAATCGCTGTGGCGCTCGAGAGAAGCGGCCACCGGTTTCTCTGGTCGCTCCGTCGCGCTTCTAATGTGGAACACATGGTGGGATCTCCTCCTGATGAATTCAAGAACTTGGAGGAGATTCTTCCGGGGGGGTTTTTAGAGCGGACGTCGGAGATAGGAAAGATTATTAGTTGGGCTCCACAAGTTGCTGTGCTTGAGAGTCTCTCGGTGGGAGGATTCGTGACGCACTGTGGATGGAACTCGATTCTCGAGAGTTTGTGGTTCGGTGTTCCGACAGCGGCCTGGCCGATCTACGCTGAGCAACAGTTTAACGCGTTTCAGATGGTGGAGGAGCTTGGTTTAGCGGCGGAGATCCGGAAGGATTACCGGAGAGGTTTTTTGGCGGGGGAGGCTAAGATGGTGACGGCTGAGGAGATAGAGAGAGGGATCAAGGATGTGATGGATCAGGACAGTGACATGAGTAAGAGGCTGAAGGAGATGAGCCGTAAGATTCACATGGCGTTGATGGACGGTGGATATTCGAGTGTTGCTCTAAAGAAGTTTGTTCAAGACGTGGTCGAAAACATTCGAAAGGAATTTGTTTAGGTTATTTTGTGATTAAATGATGGGAAAAATCGTTTAAAATATTATAATAATGATTAAAGAATGAACATTCAACACTTCCAAAACTATTATTTCATGATTTTGTTTGTTTAGTTTCATACTCTCTCCTTTTATGATGTGTGTAGCAAAAAAAAATGCATTTAACAGTATGCACAAAGATCTCTTAACATCCCAATTTTCTAACTTACCAAACTTTTAATGTCATCATGATCTAATAGTGACTATTGAGAATGAACGTCAATCCGTTAATAGAAAGAATGATCGTCCATTTGCATGTCATGAACCCACAAGTAGTTTGAGAATCCAAATCACATAGTCGTCGAAATGAAGGTTATGTCGACGGGTTAAAATTAAAAGGGCTTAATTGCATACGAAATCTTGATAAATAATGACATCATCTATATGAAATGCATCTTTTTTTTGCTTAATGCACACTGTAAAAGGAAGATTACACATGCTTTCCTTCACGTAACAAAATGAAAAGAGATTTAGAGTTATAAAATTAGTTGGTTTTTTCATATTTTACCCCAAAAAAAAAGGTTTTGGAAAAGTGTGGATTTTTTTGTGTGTGGCTATCTTCACGTCAATAATTCATAAAGAGGGAGAGTGGACTAGTGGAGTACGTTTCTTGGGCTTGTCATTATGTGGACATCAAGGGTGTGTTCTATGTACTAGCTTTGTGAATTTGTCGTCCCATGCTTTGGTTTTCAGAGGAAATTGCCAAACAATTGTGGGTTTCTCTTTAAATGTGTTTTGGTCAATGATAATGCAAGTTAAGAAACATATCACACTGCCGATAATGCAATTCCAAGAAGCAAAAAACATTTTGTTTTTGTCGACATAAGCAAAAATCAATTTAAAAGCAAATACAGTAATATCTCTTTGAATGTTCAGAAATCATTGACCATTCTCGTGGACTAGTTTGGCCGAGAAATTGAGCCCAAACATTATAAAAGAAGATCGAAGAATAACACCAGTAGATGTCCAGACGTACGCCACATGTCATGTATGCATAAAGACAAAGGCTTATCGCTTCATCGTTACCGCTTAGTTTAAACTTTAAACCATTTTCCTCTTGTTAACCAACAAAAAAAAAAAAAAAATGAAGCTTGAGCTAGTTTTCGTACCATCACCTGGTGACGGCCATATCCGGCCATTAGTGGAGGTTGCTAAGCTTCTTGTCGACCGTAACGACCATCTCTCCATCACCATCCTCATCATCCCTCAAATGCAAGGGTTCTCCGGCGGAAGCGCTTCCTCCTACATCGCTTCTCTCTCCACCGCCTCTGAAGACCGCCTCAGCTACAACGTTCTCTCCGCCCCCGATCAACCAGACTCCGACGACTCCAAACCAAATTTCATCGGTTACATCGATAGCTTCAAGCCGCAGGTGAAGGCAACCGTGGAGAAACTCGCTCAACCCGAGTCATCGCCGCCGTGGAGACTCGCTGGATTCGTGGTGGACATGTTCTGCACCGGGATGATTGACGTCGCAAACGAGTTCGGCGTCCCGAGTTACCTGTTTTACACCTCAAACGCCTCGTTTCTCGGTTTGCAGATTCACGTCCAACACCTTTACGACGTCAAGAACTACGACGTCACCGATATGAAGGACTCGGAAACCACTGAGTTGGAGATCCCGAGTTTGACTCGTCCGTTACCGGTTAAGTGTTTCCCCTCAATTATGTTATCCAAAGAGTGGTTACCGGTTATGTTAACCCAAATCAGAAGATTCAGAGAAGCAAAGGGTATTTTGGTAAATACGTTCGCTGAGCTGGAGACTCAACCTATGAAGTTTTTCTCCGGCGGAGATCATGCTCTTCCCACGGTGTACCCAGTGGGACCCATTCTCAATCTCAAAACCAACGGTCCAGATTCGACGGACGATAAGCAGTCGGAGATCTTACGGTGGCTCGACGAGCAGCCGAGTAAGTCCGTCGTGTTCCTCTGTTTCGGGAGTATGGGAGGTTTCGGTGAGGACCAAGCGAAAGAAATCGCGATCGCGCTTGAGCGAAGCGGTCATCGATTCCTCTGGTCTCTCCGTCGTTCTCGGCCGAAAGGAACGATTGGACTTCCCGGAGACTTTACGAACCTCGAAGAGATTCTCCCGGAAGGATTTTTGGATCGTACGGCGAAGATCGGGAAGATTATCGGCTGGGCTCCACAGAGCGCCGTGTTAGCAAACCCTGCGGTCGGAGGATTCATGTCGCATTGTGGATGGAACTCGACGTTGGAGAGTCTATGGTTCGGTGTTCCGATTGCCACGTGGCCGCTTTACGCCGAGCAACAGATCAACGCGTTCCAGTTGGTTGATGAGCTGGGGCTGGCGGTGGAGGTCCGGAATTCTTTCCGGGCGGATTTCATGGCGGAGGTGTCGGAGTTAATGACGGCGGAGGAGATAGAGAGGGCGATACGGTGTTTGATGGAGAAGAGCAGCGACGTGAGGGATAGAGTGAAGGAGATGAGTGAGAAGAGCCACGTGGCATTAATGGACGGTGGATCTTCGCACGCTGCTCTTTTAAAGTTCATACAAGACGTCACTGTTAATATTTCACTTTGAATGTTTCACAAAATTATTTTAGTGAATTTTCTTCTATGGCTATGCTTGATTTAACCATTTTCTCTAATTAAAATCTCATGCAAGGCTATTTTTGTGTCTCTAATAAACCAATCTGTTTAAGAATATTGCATATGTACGTGATGTGTTAGATGTTGAACATGTCCTTGGTTAGAACGTAGTGGTAGTAAAACTTCTACCATTCTAATAATTCGTAGCTTCCCAAAACTACATTAAATTGACTCCTCGTTACTCAAAAATCGACAATGAGCTTTTAGCCGGAAAAGGTGGGGCGTGAAGCCACATATATGGTGAAGACAAGATTGCTGGAAATTTGTTTAGAAGCTTGTATTTGTATAACAGTGGGAAAAATGCCAAATTGCAACTTATTAGGTGCTCACCATATATGGCGAAGACAAATTGCAATAAATTTGGTATAACCCTTTTTTAGAGTAGAAACAAAGGTCATGATACTTGTTGAGTTATTAGGTAATCACCATATATGGTGATTGTGAAGATATAATTGATAGAAATTTGTTAGAAGCTTGTAGTAACAAAGGTCATGTTTGTTACTTATTCATTAATTAGTGGGCCGCTAAAGATATGTTTCGTTTGGATTGGAGTCGTTGAGTTTATAAAGTCGCTCCACTACTATTGTTGTCTAGAAAAGCAAAAGTCAGAAAGTCTTGTGTTATGAGAAAATTCAAAGATGTTTGCATACCAACATATAGTGGATATTTTTTGGTAAATTCGTATCTAAATAGGTGGTTATGTTATCTACGGAAACAGGATATAATTAGGAACTAGAGTGATTTATAACAGTACAAATTATTTTCAATAGAAGTCTTTGCTGAATATTTGTTTCGTCACTTTTTCATCGTTTCATGAAAGCCAGAATTTGGTGTCTACCAGAGAATCTCATTAAAATCTCAATAATATAATCTCAAAGTCCATACATAGCAAAGCCCATCAAAGTGTGTCTGGAAAACGGCCGGTTTCAACATTGAGCAACACGCCAAACAAACAGCCATGAAATGCAGAAATTCGATTTGATCTCGTCTGCCATTTTAGCTACTGAAGATATAAGACACATGGCAGATAATGATGGCATTATTTGGTTTTCATTGACGGCTAGAATGTCGTATGTAAGAACATATGCTTATACAACTCTGTATCCACGGCTAGAGGTTAATCTTCTATCTTGTTCATACAAATCTTTTTGATAAAAACGCTACCACTTTGTTTAGGATATATATGACATATTCTTGAAGTTGATGAATAAGGGAAATTTTTGAATTCTTACGGCTCTTATATGGCCAGCTTTCTAATAATTCGTAGCTGCCACTAGAACATTTATGTTACATAAAAAAAACAAGAAATAGTAAAAAACCATATGAAATTGGAGTAAATCTTCGTACCATCACCGAGTCCTAGCCACCGAATCGATCAACAGTGGAGGACGCTAGACTCCTACTCGACCGCAACTGAAAAAACTAGAACAGCGTATGTTAAAGAACAAAGAACAAATTCTGCAAACACTCTTTTTGTTTTATTCGAAAATTATTAAAGAATCTTTAAAGACTTGTATAAACTCAAAATTACTCGATGTTACAATAGTAACGCTACATTGACCAATTCCTAAGCGACCAAAATCTCACTTGGACAACGACATTTGTGACACTATCTACTAAAGTTCATTCAAAATGTCAGTGACACTTGAATCTTTCAACTACTGAGAACGTTCTTAAACACCATCTTTTTTACTATTCTCCAATATCCATGGCTAGAATTGAGTTACCCATCTCAGTAGTATAAGTCTTTTTTTTTTAAGAATGCTAATCTGTTTGTGATACACATAATACATGGCATGTCCTAAATGTTGAACAAATGAATTTTTGTATCTTTAAGGGTCTTATTAGGCCACATTGTAAAAGTTTATATATCCATTTGCGTAACTGAGCTTTCTAATTGGGTTATTCCCTCCAGGAAATATGGGCTAAACTTAGCTCACTAGGCACTACGGGCTTTGTTTCATGTCTATATACACTACTGCTATGCACTCCAAGCTGAAGCTATTAGTTCGGTTCACATAGCTTACTAGTAAGTATTATATGGAATCGTGAGAACTTTAAAATTTTAAATAGTCACTCATACTTAGTGGGGAAGTTAGTAGTCTAAGCTAGATTTATAATTGTGCACTTTAGTTTTAAGAAACAATAATTTTAAACGCAAAAGTTAAAGACAGTGAATGATTAAAAAGAGATGAATCAAAACTCTCACAAGACTCTTAAGCCAAGCAAAAGAATATTTCTACGCCAACACCCGTGAAACATTGGTGATCGTACAGATGTAAATGCAGATTGAGGGAGATGATTTTAGATATTTTTATCTGGATGTTAATTTATCCACGTTCGCAAATTACTATTGAACATCGACCCTTTTTATTAGTTTATTGTTAAATGAAATGATATCATAACTCAAACGCAAAAGCTGTATATTGATTAGTATACAAAAAGAATTTTGAGATGGTTTCATAATATTTATAAGAAAAAACTCTAAGCTTTTGATTTTAAATACTGTTAATATGGAACTATTGCTTTTTTCTGTTAAAGGGTTTTCTTAATTTAAGAACTGAATGGCTACAAACATTTTACTAAAAATAAATAAACCATGTTGAAGAGAATGAACTAAATTTCGAAAGTCTCCAAGGGACATGCCAACAACTATCTGCCAAACGGGAGGGGGAAGGTATTGGAAGCTTTATTTGGTACAGTATTAGGTCAAATATCTCTAGCACCCTTTGAATTTCTTGATCAATCAAAACTACATAGTCATAAACCATAAATGCATATATAAATTTTTAAACATTAGTTAACAAAAAAAAAGCATTAGGTATTATGTCTTAGCCACTGCAGAACGACTTTTTTTTCTTTTCAATAAGTTATATTGGTTTTAAAATAGTTCCAAAACATGTCAAAGTGACTTCCAAACAATCGTCTCATTTCCTCATTCCCATAAAGATGAAGTTATATTTCGATATTGAATGGTTTCTTGTACGATTCAATCTTTTGATTGCAATATAATGACAGTCTCAATTCAATGACAATGAAAAGATATACTCCAAACTAGGTGGTTTTTCATAGTCTTTTCCAAATATAGTCATGTACTTTCTTGAAATATTAGCAATTGTATTTTTGTTTCTCTTAAGATTTTAACAACTGCAAATTCAGAATAATATATTACAAACGTACGTAGATAAATTTTAACTTATGCTCTTTTGGAGGATTTTACTAAAGTTAGTTTGTCATTGCTTAAAGCTATTTCATCCTTGACCGTAGAAGACAAGGTGGATATCAAATTAATGTAACTTAAAATAAAATTGTATATTCGATAACCAAAAGTGGTATCCTCAGCTATTGCCTAATGTGTCGATACTTCTTCTATACATACGATATGCATTATGCATTGTGTATATATGTATGTACTAAGTGATCCAACAATATAAATATAACTAGATCTTCGATAGTTCGATTTATGGCTAAAATCTGCATGAAAACTGCGTAATGGCATCTCAGGTGGTGAGAGGAAGAACAAATTTTTTTTTTTGAGACGCAATTTCTCCATGTGTTATTTGAATTACATACGTATATATTCGGTTATTTAAAATTCGTAGACTTATATGAGTAAGTGGATTCTAGGTGGATTATGCGTTGGTATATTTCCTTTTCATTGTTCCTTTTTTTTTTCTTTTGCCATTTTTAATTTTTCTATAATCAAAAGTGACAAAAGAGTATTTGCAAATTAAAATATTACATTAGTTTAGTTAGATATGGTTTTTGAGACGAATTGCTCCGACGTGATACAGATGGTGCCTAGACCAGAGGAGTAGCCAACTTTTACAGTACTTTTAGAAAAAATTGACAAATGTAAAAGGCGTTTCCTATTATTCTTCATCACGCATATACCGAGAACCAGCAACGCCTTCGAATAAGTTAGCACAAAGGGCTCGAGCTCTATCTACTAGTGTATATTATGTAAACTCTGTTCCTCCAACTTGGATCTCTGGGTTATAGAAGCAGAAGCTGTTGACAAAAAAAAACATATATTAAAATAGTTTGAAATGTTCCGATCCGATCGTTTATCTTCTTACAACTTTTATTTCTGACGCATTTTTTCTTCATACAGCTAATATATATATATATATATATATATATATATATATAAAACCTCCCATATAATAGATTAATTAGTAATCTTGCATTTCACTAAATTACCTTATGTATGTGCATGGGCCATGGCAGCAAGAAAAATAGGGAAACAAGCACAACTTTTTCCAGCGAGTAACAATTACATATTGCATGTGGTACCTTGAGCATGTAAAAAGCAATTAACGTCTTTTTAAAAGAAATAATTTGATAAGTAACTATTTATGTAATAGCCTTCTTTAAAATAAAAGAATACATTATTCACATGTGATATCAATTATTTAAGACCTACTATTACTAGTCCTTGACATGATGTATATATGCACTCTCTCTTTTTTCCAGCATAACTTTTATCGTTTTGATCATGTCTTTCCCATGTATTAAACTCTATCTATCTTTAGTTATGTACTTAATTTAATTACCTAAAATCAAAAAAAAAAATACAGCTAATCATGGAGCATATGACATAAGGGTATAAACTATTAAATAAGGGTGCTTTATTTTCAACAATTTTTTTGCTTTATTAAATTATTTTTTATATACACAAAAAGTAGGGATGATTCAATTTGGTTTTTACATAAGTGTGTCGGTTAGTTCCGGTTTACATGTTTACTTTTACCATAGTGAACACTCCTACTATTATATAAATAGACCCCCTCCATTATTGCTCTATATCTTGTCTCTCTTCAGTGACACAAAGCCAAAGAAGAGTATTAAGAAACAAGATCGAGGAAACTACTCAATGAAGACGATGAAGCTATTAAACGCCACAGTTTCGGTCGCAGTTGCAGCAACGGTTCTTATGTTAATGTTGGGATCATCAGATGCTCAACTTCAAATGAATTTCTACGCGAAGAGCTGTCCAAATGCGGAGAAAATCATTTCAGATCATATTCAGAAGCATATCCATAATGGTCCTTCTCTTGCAGCTCCTCTCATCAGAATGCACTTCCATGACTGCTTCGTCAGGGTATTTCTCTAATCCATTTAAATATATTCGTATTTATGCACATACATACATACATGATACATACATACATACATACAACTAAACAGCTTACTAGAAAAGTAGAAATGCTGTATTAGTATTATATTAATAAAATAATAATTTGATACTAGTAAATTTGAGCTAGAGCTGAACATTTGAGTTTTGTTTTGTTTTGATTTTTATTTTTTTATATATTGACACTGATTTTTGGAAAAATTTATTAAAAGGGATGCGATGGATCAGTGTTGATAAATTCGACATCAGGGAACGCAGAAAAAGATTCAGCACCGAATCTAACACTTAGAGGATTCGGCTTCGTTGAGAGGATTAAGACTCTTCTTGAAGCAGAGTGTCCTAAAACCGTTTCATGCGCTGATATCATCGCTTTGACCGCTAGAGACGCAGTTGTTGCAACCGTAAGTAAACAAATTATATATTTAAAACGTTAACTAATGAGTAATGAGTAAGTTAAGCAAACTTATCGTTAAATGATTTTTTTGACAGGGAGGCCCTTCGTGGAGAGTCCCGACAGGAAGAAGAGACGGGAGGATCTCAAACACGACGGAGGCTTTGAACAACATTCCGCCGCCGACTAGTAACTTCACGACGTTACAACGACTTTTCGCTAACCAAGGCCTTAATCTCAAAGACCTTGTCCTGCTCTCCGGTAAGTTTCAGTAACCAACTTATACATTTCCAACACATATCCGTATCCGTGATAATAAATACACATTTGTAACAATGAAAAATATTTCAACAAGAATAGGTTTCCGAATTAGCCATTGGTGCTATAATTGGAAAATTAAACTAATGGTGTTACATTTGAAAAAAAAAAACTTAAAAATGAAGTATTGAAGAAACATAAAAATTAAACTAATGGTGTTACATTTGAAAAAAAAAATCTTTAAAATGAAGTATTGAAGAAACATAAAAATTAAACTAATGGTGTTACGGTTTAACATTTCTTTTTGTTTCAGGGGCACACACGATCGGTGTCTCGCATTGTTCTTCCATGAATACACGTCTCTACAACTTCTCGACGACAGTCAAACAAGACCCATCTCTAGACACCGAGTACGCAGCGAATCTAAAGGCCAACAAATGTAAAAGCCTCAATGACAACAGCACCATCCTCGAGATGGATCCCGGTAGTCGTAGAAGCTTCGATCTCAGCTATTACAGGCTTGTTCTAAAGAGGAGAGGTCTCTTCCAGTCTGACTCTGCCCTGACGACTAACTCAGCTACGTTGAAAATGATCAACGACTTGGTCAACGGTTCTGAACAGAAGTTTTACAAGGCTTTCGCTAAGTCAATGGAGAAGATGGGGAGGGTTAAAGTGAAGACTGGCTCAGCCGGCGTGATCAGGACACGGTGTTCTGTTGCCGGAAGTTAACTAAACTATTCTGGTCTGAAAATGCTGTGTGTTCTGTTTTTTTTTTAATTATTTATTGTCGTTGTCTTTTTTGGGACGAATGTGTTGTTAATTGTTAAATTTGATTTTGTTGTTGTTTGATTTGTCATGTGTGTTTATGCACCCAAGAAACATCTGTTATGATTCAAGCTATTATGCAAAACATAATAAATTTACAATGATTCTGAAAATATGTATCCATGACCATGCCAAGGAACTATAATTATGAGTTTAGTAGTTTACAATATCATGTAACCATGTTTAACACAGAAAACTAACATACACGTGAAAAGCCCATTATTAGGGCCCATTAACCATTATTCCGATCAAGCGACATTATAGTATTATACAAAGAGTTATCAAATGCCACGTGGCTTTTATATTTCTAAATTCTCCGTCATGTGTTGACTAAACTTTTGCAAAGCAACATGCGACGATCCACCGTCCATTAAAGCCACGTGGCATTTCTCGCTCATCTCCTTAACTCTCTTTCTTACGTCACTCTCTTGTTCCATCAGAGACTTGATCGCTCTTTCAATCTCCTCCGCCGTCACAATCTCCATCTCCGACCTCCCCAACAACAGATCTCCACGCCAATGCTTCTTGATTTCCACGGCCAAACCAAGCTCCTCCACCATCTCGAAGGCGTTGAACTTCTGTTCTGCATATAGCGGCCAAATCGCCGTCGGAACGCCGAACCACAAACTCTCTAGCGTCGAATTCCACCCGCCGTGGGAAACAAAACCTCCGATCGCCGGTTTCGCCAGAACAGCCACCTGCGGAGCCCATCCGATCACTTTCCCTCTCTCCTCCGTCCGATCGATAAAACCTTCCGGGAGAATCTCCTCCAAATTCGTGAAATCTCCCGGAGGCTCCTTCTTTATATTCGGAGATGCACGGCGGAGAGACCAGAGAAACCGGTGACCAGATCGCTCGAGCGCGACGGCGATTTCTCTAGCTTGTTCCTCACTGAAACCTCCCATGCTCCCGAAGCAGAGGAACACTACCGATCCAGCCGGTTGCTCATCGAGCCATTCCAAAATCTCCGATTGTTTCTTCTCTTCCACGGAACCACCAGCTTCATTCTTGAAATGCAACAATGGTCCCACCGAGTAAACACAAGGAGTGTCACCATCGGAGAGAAACTTCAACGCATGAGTTTCCAACTCGGAAACAGTATTTACTAAAATACCCTTGGTCTCTCTAAATCTTCTCGCTTGAGCTAAGAAAAACGGTCGCCACTCTTTTGATTTGAAAATGTAAGGAAGACATTTCAACGGATAAGGACGAGTCAAACTCGGAACAACCAACTCAGCCTCCGAGTCTTCCAACTCGCTCATCATGTCATGCTTATTATCCTCGGCCTTGTCGTACATGAGCTGCATATGAAGCAAGAGTCCGAGGAATCCAGCGTTTGAGGTGTAAAACAAGTAGCTAGGGACGCAGAAATCGTTTGCGACGTCGATCATCGTCGTGCAGTACATGTCCACAACGAATCCGGCTAGCCGAGGCGAGTCAGGTTGAGTCGGATCGACGATCTTAGCAACCGCGTCTCTCACCAGTGGCTTTAGGCTTTGGACGTGGGAATCAGTCGCCTTTAGCTCGGTTGGTTGTTGGTTTTCTCCGGTTATTACTTCGTACCGGAGACGGTTGTTGGATGTGGTGGTGAGGGAGGCGATCATAGAGGTGATTTTGGAGTTGAAAGATATGATGATTATGGTGATGGAGAGACGGTTGTTTTGATTGATTAGTCTCTCTGCCATCTCTACGGTTGCCATGAGATGACTGATCGTCGGAGACGGAATGAAAATCAGCTCAATTTTCATTTTCTTTTGTTATCCTATTTTGGTGTGTTGTTTCGATTCCAGAGGATAGGACAATTGTAAGAGTTGTTAATTTATAGGAAATGATGTGATTTATTGTAATTTTATATACAATCCACGGATTTAGTTTACTGGATTTTGATAGGAGCATCGTTATCTTTGTCCAATAGAGAGTGTTCATTGAGTATTTTCCATAACTCGTGTTTGAATTGTTCACTTCTATAGTTCTATGTACATTTTTCTTCTTCATGGTGGTGTTCATGGACAATATTTGTCAATAGTCAACTCTTTCACTGTAGAGGAAGATGTTTTTTAATTTTTTTCAGCTAGATTTTTAGGACCGTCAGTACAATTTTCTGTTAATCTTCTTACATTAATCTTAATAGACAAAGTCAATCATGGTTTTTTAATATTTTGATCACATAGGTTTCTTGCAAAACAAGTTATTATCACTTCAAGTCCATGTCCTGCTTCCGTACATAAATAAAACATCGCTGGTAACTCATAATTCATAGCCATTACATTATATCCTTATCACCACTTCAAAGTACAGTAGTACTAAAGATTGCATTGACAAACATTGTATCTTCTTAACTTTATTTGGGTCTACTCTATCATTTAAGAGCAAACAGGCTTCAGTTCCATAAGACCATAACCGGTCAAACGATATTCTTCTTAACGTCTTGAATGAACTTTTGCAAAGCAATCCGAGACGAACCACCGTCCGTTAAAGCCACATGGCATTTCTCGCTCATCTCCTTCACTCTCTTCCTCACCTCACTATCCTCCTCCATGAGCCGCTTGATTCCTCTCTCTATCTCCTCCGCCATCACCAAATCCGCCGCCGCTCCCGCCACAATATCGCCTCTCCAATACCTTTTTATCTCCACCGCCAGTCCAAGCTCTTCCACCATCTCGAATGCGTTGAACTTCTGCTCTGCGTATAGCGGCCACGCCGCCGTAGGAACACCGAACCAGAAGCTCTCGAGCATCGAGTTCCAACCGCAGTGAGTGACGAAACCTCCGATTGCCTGCTTCTCCAGCACGGCAACTTGTGGAGCCCGTCCGATCACTTTCCCTCTCTCCTTCGTCCGATCAAAGAATCCTTCCGGGAGAATTTCCTCCAGATTCGTATACTCTCCGGGACGTTCCTTCATTACATCGGGAGACGGACGACGGAGAGACCACAAGAAACGGTGCCCGCTTCTCTCAAGCGCAACAGCGATTTCTCTTACTTGTTCCTCACTGAAACCCCCCAAGTTTCCGAAACAAAGAAACACCACCGATTTGGCCGGTTGCTCCTCCAACCATGCTAAAATCTCCGACTGTTTCTCGTCCTTGGAATGATCAACTTGGTTCTCGAGGTGCAGAAGTGGTCCAACTGGATAAACAGGAGGAGTGTCAACACCACCACTTGAGAGAGACTCCAACACATAAGGTTCAAGCTCGACAACAGTGTTAACCATAATGCCCTTCATCTCTCTAAATCTTCTTGACTGGTTTACTAAGATCGGTAACCACTGTCTCGATGCGAAAAGGCGAGGAAGGCACTTGACCGGATAAGGACGACTCAAGAACGGAACGGCCAGCTCAGCTTCCGAGTTATCAAGATCCAACTCACTGACGTCGTACTTCTCCACATCGTACATGTGCTGAAGGTGAAATGCGAGTGCGAGAGCACCGGAGTTGGATGTGTAGAAGAGATAAGTCGGAACCCCTAACTCGTTGGCCACGTCAATCATCGACGTGCAAAACATGTCGACGACGAACCCGGCGAGAGTCGACGACTCGAGTTTCGCAACCGCGTTTCTCACTTTGCGCTTCTGATTCTCGACATGGATGTCAATCCAAGTCGGTTCCGCGTCTTGTTGATCTCCACCGGAGATGATTTCGTAGCGGAGACGGTCGTTTGGTGCGGTGGAGAGTGTTGCCACGTAAGCGGAAGAATCGGCTTCGTCTCCGAAAAGGAAAGGAAGGATAATCACGGTTACTGAGAGACGGTCGTCTTGCTCCACTAGTAGCTTCGCCATCTCGACTGCTGATCTGAGATGACTGATTCCAGAAAACGGTATGAACACAAGATGAGAGTTCATGTTTCTCCTTCTAGTTTTTTTATGTGTTTTGTCTGAATTGAGACGCCGAGGAGAAGTATTAAATAAGTTATGTAGTAAGAGGACATATACACTGTTTCGACTGTTTCCCTGGTCTGAATAATAGCCGTTTGTTCATTTCTTTTTTTGACAAACTTCTTTCAAATTAAATCATCTAATTAAAAAAGAAAGTCTTGTTTTGGCCAGCTAAAGTTTTCGTGGGATGCATGAATGACAGTAAGATATTCATCTAAAATTTATCAACATGATGATGAGAAAAGTGAGGAAATAGAGATAAAAAAAGTTTCACTTGAAAAACATAAAATAATTCAGATATTCTGTCATATATGGTCCTCATTTAAAATTTAATTTAATTGAAATACTTATGAAAATATTATTTAGTTGCATATCATATCATTTCTCTAATCAAATTAAAATAAAAGTAATTTCATTTTGTAAGTAATATCATATCATTCCACAAGTGACAAAATCTTCTGGAAGACCAAGAAGAATACACAGCGTTCGTTGTAACATCCCAGTCTTAGTTGGATGATTCACATGCATTTTAATTTTACTCCTACTTGTCACTCATCTAGAGAGACGAAAACATTAAATTGCGAATAGGGTTTTGTGCAAATGAACCCGTGAACTAAAATAAATTTGCAAATCAAACCCTCAAGTTAATTCCGTGCAAGTCAAACCCCCAATGTTAAAAGTCACCCGCTAAACGCACCCCTCCGTGTGTTTGTCGTTAAACCAAACGTTGACACTAAAACGAGGCGTTTTGGTTTAAAGAAAATCTTGTTGTTTTGCCGATAACAATTGTTTTTAAGTTTATGGTGATATTGAACTTTACTTTACGGCTATAAATCATTATGTTTTGAACTTTACCATTGTGCTTATGTTTATGTCTTGTAATGAATTCCAAATTGCAAAATATCATGAACTTAAAACTTAACAATTTTGCCATTAAATTGAAATAACAAAGACATTAGCTAGACAAAAGCATCGTTTTCACATGAATCTTACAAAAGCACAAAAACAAAGTTTTCGATTCAGTAAACAAAGTTAAAAAGCCTGGACTAAACTGATGTAACAAACAACATTAAGCTTGCTTAGAGGTCCACATAACCATCATTCCTCCAATCCATACAGCAAATCCAATAGATGAAGCAAGAAGAACATTCTGGAGACCATTGCACCTTTCCTTCAAGACCAGAACCTCTCTCCTCTCAGCATCACATTCCAATCTTAGAGCTTTACATTTCGCATTTTCCCTATTAGCAGCCTCAAGAGTTATAGTGGTTACCTTGCATTTCAAATCTCCAATTTCATGTTTCAGATCTTCCATGATGGTTTGGGCCTCCGACAATGCCAAAGTTTGCCATCCGGTTAGAATCTCGTCGTCGTACCACCGAATGAAATCGCGATTCACAGATTCTCCACTCGGCTCACTCCCGAAGAAGCCGACTCACTCATGACTCAGCAAGGTGTCATCTCTGTTCTACCGGAACACCGTTACGAGCTACACACCACTCGGACTCCACTCTTCCTCGGACTCGACGTTCACAGCGCAAATCTATTCCCCGAAAACGGCGCATCGAGCGACGACGTCGTCGGGTTCTCGACACCGGTGTTTGGCCAGAGAGAAAAAGCTTCTCCGACGAAGGATTCAGTCCGATTCCGTCTACCTGGAAAGGCGGATGCGAGATTGGAACTAACTTCACCGCTTCGCTCTGTAACCGTAAGCTAATCGGAGCCAGATTCTTCGCTCGAGGCTCCAAAGCAACGATGGGACCAGTCGACGAATCTAAAGAATACGACGGACACAGAACTCACACGTCATCAACCGCAGCTGGATCCATCGTGGAAGGCGCTAGCCTCTTAGGCTTCGCTAACGGAACGGCTCGAGGTATGGCTTTGCTAACCTCGTCTCCAGCTGAGAATGACAGTTTCCTCGACAACGTGTTAAGTCGAATCCAGATTCAATAGCTCGAACTCAACAATCAATCGTTATTCGGAAATCGCAGTAAACCCTTTTTTTTTTTGCCCAATTTGATTTTGTGTTCTCTCAAGCCCGACAACTAAGTTTGACAAACTTTAAGTTCCACCATGTTGTGTCGTTTTGATGTCTAAAAACGACATGAGATTTGCAAACGCTGTCCCGTTTTTAATTTGCAAAACGGTGGCGTTTTAAATTCTGTTAGTTTTTAAACAGAATTCAACACAGCCACGTCGACCATATAGAGAGGGTGCCTTTAGCGGGTGACTTTTGATATCGAGGGTTTGATTTGTACAGAATTAATTTGAGGGTTTGATTTGCAAAATTATTTTAGTTCACGGGTTGATTTGCACAAAACCCTTGCGAATACTTAATGTTGACATGAATCCAATACTACTATATGTTTGCATTTCAAACGCATCTCAGTACCACCACAATCCTTCCAAAATATCATTAGTTCGAGTATTAATTACTCTTTGGACTTTTGTAATAACCACAAAGACTAAACAATATCCCGTGAAAGAATATTCTAGGGCATCTCCATCCCAGGTTTTTTAGCAAGGTTTTAAAGCATTTCTGGCAAATTAATTAAAGATTAAAAGAAAAGAATTACTTGAAGAAAAGAATCCTAATTTGGTGTGTTGTTACGACTCTAGATGTTAGGAAAATTGTTAAGAGTTGTTAATTTACTTGATTTTGATAGGAACAACGTTATATTCGTCCAAGATTTGTGTTCATTGCTGAATAATTTTCAAAACTCGTCTTTGACTTGTTCACTTCTATAGGTGTGTTCATGGACAATTATTGTCCATAGTCAAGTCTTTCACTATAGAGGAAGATATTATTTATTTTTCAGCTAGATTTTAATATTTTATATTTTCTTTATGTGATTTCTTTTTGTTACACTTTAATCTTAGATACAAAATCATTCACGGTTACTAATGTTTCGATTTATATATTGATGACATAGGTTTCTTGCTACACAAGTTATCACTTCAAGTTCGTGTTTTGCTTCCGTACATAAATGAAACATCGCTGATAGCTCATAACCATTAAATTGCATCCTTATCACCACTTCAAAGTACAGTAGTACTAAAGATTGCAATATTGCATTGACGAACATTATATTTTCTTAACTTTATTTTGTCTACTCTATCATTTAAGAGCATACATGCTTCAGTTCCATAACCGGTCAAATGATATTCTTCTTAACGTCTTCAATAAACTTTTGCAAAGCAATCCGCGACGAACCACCGTCCGTTAAAGCCACATGGCACTTCTCGCTCATCTCCTTCACTCTCTTCCTCACCTCACTATCCTCCTCCATGAGCTGCTTGATTCCTCTCTCTATCTCCTCCGCCATCACCAAATCGGCCGCTCCCACCAAAATATCGCCTCTCCAATACCTTTTTATCTCCACAGCCAGTCCAAGCTCTTCCACCATCTCGAATGCATTGAACTTCTGCTCTGCGTATAGCGGCCATGCCGCGGTTGGAACACCAAACCATAAGCTCTCGAGCATCGAGTTCCAACCGCAGTGAGTGACGAAACCTCCGATCGCTTGATTCGCAAGAATAGCCACCTGTGGAGCCCATCCGATCACTTTCCCTCTCTCCTTAGTCCGATCAAAGAAACCTTCCGGGAGAACTTCCTCCAAATTGGTATACTCTCCGGGACGTTCCTTCATTACATCCGGAGATGGACGACGGAGAGACCACAGGAAACGTTGCCCGCTTCTCTCAAGCGCAACAGCGATTTCTCTTACTTGTTCCTCATTGAAACTCCCCAAGCCTCCGAAACAGAGGAACACCACCGATTTAGCCGGTTGCTCCTCCAACCATTTCAAAATCTCCGATTTTGTCTCGTCCTTGGAATCATCAACTTGGTTCTCGAGGTGCACAAGTGGTCCAACTGGATAAACAGGAGGAGTGTCAAGACCACCACTTGAGAGAGACTCCAATACATAAGGTTCAAGCTCAGCGACAGTATTAACCAAAATGCCCTTCATCTCTCTAAATCTTCTTGATTGGTTTACAAAGATCGGTAACCACTCTTTCGATAGCATAAGGCGAGGAAGGCACTTCACCGGATAAGGACGACTCAAGAAGGGAACGACAAGCTCATCTTCCGAGTTATCCAGATCCAACTCACCGACGTCATACTTCTTCTCATCGTACATTTTCTGAACGTGAAATGCGAGTGCGAGAGCACCGGAGTTGGATGTGTAGAAGAGATAACTCGGAACCCCTAACTCGTTCGCCACGTCAATCATCGATGTGCAAAACATGTCGACGATGAATCCGGCGAGAGTCGACGAGTCGAGTTTCGCAACGGCGCGTCTCACCTTTTGCTTCTGATTCTCGATATGGATGTCGATCCAAGTCGGCTCCGCGTTTTGTTGATCTCCACCGGGGATGATTTCGTAACGTAGGCGGTCGTTGGGTGCGACGGAGAGTGCTGCCACGTAGGCGGAAGAATCGGTTTCGTCTCCGAAACGGGAAGGAAGGATGATCACGGTGACTGAGAGGCGGTCGTCTTGGTCCACTAGTAGCTTCGCCATCTCGACTGCTGATCTGAGATGACTGATTCCAGAAAACGGTATGAACACAAGATGAGATTTCATGTCTTCTAGTTTTTTTTCTTTTCTTTTCTGCTTTGTCTGAATTGAGGCGATAACGCCGAGGAGGTATTAAATAAGTTATGTAGTAAGAGACATGCACTGTTTTGTGGTCTGAATGATAGCCGTTTGCCCGTTTCTATCCATTTGTAGGCATGTTTTCTTTTCTTTCTTTTTTGACAAATTTCTTTCAAATTAAGTTATCTAAAAAGTAATTTTTGTTTTCGCCAGCTAAAGTTTTCATGGATTGTATGAATGACTCATCTAAAATCTATCAACATGATGATGACAAAAGTGAGGAAATAGAAATAAAAAAAATTCACTTGAAACATAAAATATATTCAGGTATTTTGCCATATATATATATATGATTCTCTTTAAAAAAAGTAATTATGAAAATATTATTTAGTTGCATATCATATCATTTCTGTAATCAAATTAAAATGTAAGTAAAACATATATTTATCTATTCGGGAAGATCAACAAGTGACAAAATCTTCTGGAAGACCAAGAAGTATACATGACTTTCGTTGTAACATTCAAGTCTTATTTGGATGATTCACATGCATTTTAATTTTACTCCTACTTGTCACTTATCTTGAGAGACGAAAACATTACATTGTGAATACTTAACTTTGACATAAATCCTATACTACTATATAGTTCGTTGGCCTCCTTTTTCAAATGCATCTCAGGGCCTGACTGGTTTAAACGCTGCGGTTGCGGTTGCGGGAGTTTGCGGTTGCGGGAGTTTGCGGAAGCGGGAGTTTGCGATTAAAAGCTGTTTGTACGACTGGTATAGCAATTCATAGCGGTTGCGTTTGCGGGATATTTTTGACTGGTTAGCCAGCGGGTGCAAGAGCGGTTTAACCAAAAGTTACTAAAATAAAATAATATATAATTATTCAAAACATTTATAACCATTATTAATAATTTTTTTTTAAATATATTTCTTTGATGAATTTTTAATTTGAAAACTACCCTTTTTTTTTGGTTTTGAAAAATACACTTTTTATATGTAAAATGATTATTTAATTTGAACCTAATTTAATAAAAACGAAATTCAAATAAGAAATATAAAATATTAATATTTGATAATAATTTTGTATCATTTTTACTAAACCATCCTAATTACCTGTTTAGATTTTTTTTTAAAAATTTAATAAAAATATAAGATTATTTATATAAAGTTTAAATGGGGTGAGATTAAAGTTGTTTATAAAGTTTCAAAAATATTTAAATTTTTCAAAAGATAAACATTAAAAATGAAAGATATATTTCTCCACTTTTAAATTTTTAATAATTTATAAACTTTAAAATATGTAAAGTTTTAATTTATTTAAAGTTTCATTTGGTTGGAATGTGTATGAGGTTAAGTTGTTTATATAAAGTCCAAAATATTAAAATTTGTTTCAATTTAACATATACTATATTTATTTGAAAAAAAACTTATTAATTTATTTTTTTTTAAATTTTCGTTTTTAATTTGTAATTATTTATTATTTTTTGTTTAAATCACGTCAAAACAGACTTTTTACATTTTAAAAGTGTATTTTTCAAAACAGAAAAAATTAGGGTATTTTCGAAATTTTTAAACATAATTATGGTATTTTTCAAAAAAATATACCCTTATTCCAAATTTGGAGATATTATGTTTTTTTTTTTTTTTTCAAACCGCAACCGCCCGCAACCGCAAACGCTTGCGGAAAGGAGCTTTTGATTTCCAGCGATATAGAGCGGTACAGAGTGGTATAGAGCGGTTGAAAGCGGTTGTCGTGATTGTTATAAAACGCTAAGAACCGCTACGAACCGCAAACGCTGCGTTTGCGGGTGGTAGCGGGAGAACCAATCATCACCTCAGTATCACCACAATCCCTCCGAACTATCATGAGTTCGAGTATTAATTACTCTTTGGACTTTGTAATAACCACAAAGTCTACACAATATCCGGTGAAAGAATATTCTTCACAACGTCTTGAACAAATTTTCGCAAAGCAATCCGCGAAGATCCACCGTCCATTACCGCCACGTGGCATTTCTCGCTCATCTCCTTCACTCTCTTCCTCACGTCACTATCTTGCTCCATCAGTGACCTGATCGCTCTTTCAATCTCCTCCGCCGTCACCAAGTCCGTCGGCGTCCCGCCCAAATGATCGCCTCTCCAATACCTCTTAATCTCCACCGCCAGTCCAAGCTCCTCCACCATCACAAACGCGTTGTATTTCTGCTCCGCGTATAACGGCCACGCCGCCGTCGGAACACCGAACCACAAACTCTCCAGCATCGAATTCCACCCGCAGTGAGTGACGAAGCCTCCAATCGCCGGCTTCTCCAGCACGGCAACCTGTGGGGCCCATCCGATCACTTTCCCTCTCTCCTTGGTCCGATCAAAGAATCCTTCCGGGAGAATCTCCTCCAGATTCGTGAATTCTCCAGGAGCTTCCTTCATTATATTCGAAGGCGCGCGGCGGAGAGACCACACGAAACGGTAACCGCTTCGATCAAGCGCGACGGCGATCTCTCTTACTTGCTCCTCACGAAACCCTCCCATGCTCCCGAAACAGAGGAACACCACCGATTTAGCCGGTTGCTGGTCAAGCCATTCCAAAATCTCCGATTGCTTCTTCTCCTCACAATCACCAACTTGATCCAACAACGGTCCCACCGGATAAACATGAGGCGTATCACCACCACTCGTTAGAGTCTCCAACACGTAAGGCTCCAAGTCAGCGACAGTATTTACCAAAATACCCTTCATCTCTCTGAACCTTCTCGCTTGGTTCACGTAGACCGCGAGCCATTGCTCCGAGGCAAGGCCGTGAGGAAGGCATTTAACCGGATAAGGACGAGTCAGACTCGGTACGATCAACTCAGCTTCCGAGTCTTCGAAGTCGCTTTCTCTCACATCGTATCTCTTCTCGTCGTAAAGCATCTGAACATGAAACCCGAGCGCGAGGATCCCGGCGTTGGAGGTGTAAAACATGTAACTCGGAACACCGAACTCGTTCGCCACGTCGATCATGGAGGTGCAGAACATGTCGAGGACGAATCCGACGATCGTAGGGGAGTTTGGTAGCGTCGAGTAGTCGTGGACGAGTTTGGAAACGGCGCGTCTCACCTTTGGTATTTGATTCTTGATATGGACGTCATGCGTCGTAGGCTCAGCCGTTGGTTGATCTCCGTCGGAGATGATTACGTAGCGGAGACGGTCGTTGGATGCGGCGGAGAGGGCTGCGATGTAATCTGAAGCACCGGTTTCATTTCCGGAGATTGAAGGGAGGATGAGTAGGGAGATAGAGAGGCGGTTTTCTTGGTCGATGAGTAGCTTCGAAATCTCGACTGTTGATCTGATATGTCCGATTCCTGGATATGGTATGAAGACAAGCTCGAATTTCATGTTTCTCCTTCTTTTCTCTTTTCTTTTTTTTTTTCTCTGTTTTTTTTTTTTTTTGTCTGAATGCTCCAAACAATAAAGCTGATTAGAAAGAAATGTCAAAGAAGCTTAAATCAGTTTGCTCTGTTTGTTGGCTTCAGCAAATTTGGGCCCATTGGATATTGACATAAGAGAAATGAGAACTATATCATAGCTAGGTCTGTTGTGTAGAACCGGCACATGTTCAGTATGAGCATAATAACTTATAGAGATTTGATTTGGTTAAGTAATTGTCTTGGAGACGAATATAAGCTTTTACGGTTTTACCAATATACTTGCATTCAAATTATATGTATGAGAAGTAAGATAGATTGATCATTGATGAGAGTAAATGAGTAAATGTTTGTTATGAAGTAAAACTCACTGGCTTTAGTATTGGAATGCTTCACTCCAGTTTGGCAAAGCCAAATGGTAAATGGAACATGTCACGTGTCCATGACACAACACAACATCTCCGTTAATGGCATGGTTATAGTTTCTAGCATTATTTGTAGCACATGAGATATAGCAGCTACAAAGGGGAACATAGTATGGCCAAAATAGTCTCTTGTATAGTTTGGGAAAAATGGAGGAGAGTACCTGAACTCCTGAAGAGAAAAATGATCTGAAAAAAGAAGAGTCCATTCTCCGAGAAAACTGAGGTGGAATTGATTTGAGATATAGCTTAGTGTTTTGCGTTTGTGAGGGGACACTGAAATAAATACATGCACGACAATGTGAGATTTGGAAATGCAGATGAGATTTCAATTCCAAGATTACTACAGTGTACTATATGTTTTGGTCGTAATCAAAACCTCCATAAAGATTATTATTATTTTCGAATAATTTCTCACAACAAACCGAAGGTTACAGCGCACACGAGATAGACATGCGAATATATAAAAAGGGCCATAACTTTGGTCCTACCAATTCATTCAAAGAGCGTTACCAATATTCTCAAACACATTATCAATAAATTTCTTCAAAGCTGTCTGAGAAGATCCCACGTCCATTACCGCCACGTGGCATTTCTCGCTCATCTCCTTCACTCTCTTCCTCACCTCACAATCCTGCTCCATCAGTGACTTGATCGCTCTCTCAATCTCCTCCGCCGTCACAACCCCCGTACGATCGTTGCGCCAATACCTCCTTATCTCCACCGCCAGTTCAAGCTCGTTCACCATCTCAAACGCGTTGAATTTCTGCTCCGAGTACAACGGCCACGCCGCCGTCGGAACACCGAACCAAAGACTCTCCAGCGTCGAATTCCACCCGCAATGAGTGACGAAACCTCCAACCGCCGGCTTCGACAACACCGCGATCTGCGGAGCCCATCCGAGCACTCTCCCTCTCTCTTCCGTCCGATCGAAGAATCCTTCCGGTAGAACCTCCTTCAGATTCTCAAATTCTCCGGGAGGAGATGCGCGGCGGATAGACCAGACGAAACGGTGACCGCTTCTCTCCAGCGCGACGGCGATCTCTCTCGCTTGCTCCTCCGTAAAACCTCCCAAGCTCCCGAAGCAGAGGAACACAACCGATTTCGGCGGCTGCTGGTCAAGCCAATCCAAAACCTCCGATTGCTTCTCTTCTTTTGAATCTCCGGTTTGGTTTCCGAGCTCCAAAAGCGGTCCTACCGGGTAAACCGGAGGCGTATCACCGCCGTTGAGAACTTTCAACGTGTAAGGCTCGAGCTCAGCTACCGTATTTACCAAAATGCCCTTCATCTCTCTGTATTTTCTTGCTTGGTTGGTCAAAATCGGGAGCCACTCTTTCGACGCTAAACCGTGAGGAAGACATTTAACCGGATAAGGACGAGTCAAACTCGGAACGGTTAACTCAGCGTCCGAGTCTTCGTAATCTGACTCACTCACATTGTATTTCTTCTCATCGTACAACGTCTGAACGTGAAACCCGAGCCCGAGAAGCCCCGCGCTCGAGGTGTAAAACAGATAACTCGGAACGCGAAACTCGTTCGCGACGTCGGTCATCAACGTGCAGAACAAATCGACGATGAAACCAGCGAGTCGCGGCGAGTCCGGTAGCTTCGAGTGGTCGTCGACGAGTTTCGCGACGGCGCTTCTCACCTTTGGCACTTGGTTCTTGATGTGGATGTCGATCCTCGTCGGCTCGGCGGTTTGTTGGTTTTCGTCGGAGATGATTTGGTAGCGGAGGCGGTTGTTGGATGTTTCGGAGAGGGATGTTAGGTAAGAGGAAGAAACGTTTTCGCCGCCGGGAACGGAGGGGAGGAGGAGAATGGAGATGGAGAGACGGTCGTCACGCTTCACTAGTAGCTTCGCGATCTCCACTGCTGACCTGAGATGACCGATTCCAGGGAACGGGACAAAGACGAGCTCGAATTTCATTTTTTGTTATTTATTTTATTTATTCTATCTATTTGTTGCCTCTTTTGTGCTTGGTCTCTATATTGCTCCCCAAACATCAGCGAAGATCTTAACTTAAATAGTAACGTCTGCCGACAAAAATGGAGGATATCTGAATAATTACTATGGAGGAGTAATAGTTAATTTTGCCGACCTATGAAAGGTAAAATAGTTAATACTATTGCTGAACCAAAAAAAAAACTTAATATTTCTGCAGAACCATAAACTAATACTAAACGTAATAATTAATGTTGCTCACCCAAAAAGGACCACATTAATGTCTTTATTAAAGATAAATTGGTGAATGGTGAATATTGCCAACAAATAAATAAAACAATAGTACTGTCAAATTTATAAGAAAAAATTAGTTCTTCAAGATGCTTCTCAATACTATTACAAAGGATTGATAAATTTTTTTGAAGAACTAATTATTACATTGGACATTATAGTCTTCTGATATCAGCATTTATTATAAACGTTAACTACACTGTTTTTCTAAATAACAAAAACCCAAGCATTTATACCTTTTACTATTTAGAAAAACAGTGTAGTTCACTCTATCGTTATTTTATCTAGGTTCTGATTGGTCGAATATAGTATGCTACACGCGATAAATGTTTAGTTCACTCTATCGTTATTAATGCAAATATAATATTTTCTTTGAAGGAGACGACCGTATCAGGAGTCTTAATGCTCATCGGAGATCGTTCATGTAAATTTTCTGCATCTGTAGACTGTAGTGTTCGATGACACGGTTGTGGCGTTGTGGTTGCTTATTAGTCTATGATATTTACCTGATGAGTGATTGATGATATCGTCTTGAGGATTTATAACTATCTTTCTCATTTTTTTTTTTTTTTTATCTTTCTCATTTTTTTTTTCGTCAATAACATGGATTATGGTTGTGTGATGATGATTCAATAACACTTTGAACAGAAACCATTTGCTGGAAAAGGGTATGTACTATGTACTACATACCTACCCCCTCAATTATCTTGTTGAAACTTCAGGATCCACACACTACACCTAAAACAGGTCAAGTAAATTACTTCCATTCAATTTTCTTTTCCTTTTTTTCATTTTCATTTTCATTTTCATTTTCATTTTCGGGTTGCTCTAGTAATTAATGTGTGGGCTTACATTGGGCCATAATAAAAGGGCCGGTTTATACTATTGGGCTATTTTGGAGATGCCTGTAGCCGCTAGTCAATAGGGAAAACCCTAATTCCCAAAGCTAATACGAGAGCGTCCGTGTGGGTATATATATGCTTCGTCTTCTCTTGCCTATGAAAACCATCCTCTCTTCTTCTCTTCTCTTTACCTTCTGCTAGTGTTTACGGTTTTATTAAAAAGTGTTTGATTCGTTTTTCGATTTTTTTTTTGGGGTGGGGGCGTAAAAGAATATGGTGATGATACGAATATTTCGTGGACTAGAGTTTCAGATCCGGGCTCTTCTCCCAGAATTTGAAGAAACAACCCTTGGCTGTCTGAGTATCTCTTTACGCCCACCTTCATGATTATAGTTTTGTTTAGCTCGTTTTTTGTTTTTCTGATAGTTAGATGTTTGGCCTATGAGGATAGAACAATTATCTTAGCGGATTTCAGTGAGGTTTTTCGGAATCAATGATCTGATTGTTACACACACTGAGGCCTTGTTTTTCTTATTCATCGATTTCAGTTTTGAGGTTTTTGTTTTGTTTTGTTTTCGGTAATTGTTTTTGGTGATTATTTGATGCGATGATGATAAAATAGCACGAAGGTGCGTGAAGGGCAGTGGACAAGACAATGCAAATTGTTTTGCCGTGAGCTCTCCTAATTAAACGACTTCTCCTTCCACTGAGCATTATGATTTTTTTTTGTCTGTTTTGATGATAATTGATATTGTGTATGCTGACGAAAGCGTCCATTACCAATTCTGGGGATTAAATCTGTTCCTTCAGGTATAATGGCATTGACGCAAGACTACGTTGTGGTATATCCTGATCATCTGTCTTTTTTCCATGTTATTTGATCCTGGAAATGCCTCGTACATGTTTCACAAAGTTGTGGTTTTGTTTACTTGCTGTTCTTATTTGTGGTTTCATGTTGCCTGTCTTGTGACTTTATAGATTCATGTTGGTTTTGGGAGATGTTATGTTCTATTACTAGATTAGAGATTTGTAATCTATTTTCTTATAATTTGAACGGATTTTGAGTTGGATAATTTTCGAATATGACCAGGCATGGCTCTGAATTAAAATCACTTCATCTAGCTTAGTTTTTGTTTCCTTTAGACATCTTTTCAGGTGATCGCGGACTGACCAGTAAAAGAGATTCAGTAGAAGAAGTTGATGTGTCGTTGTTCATTTTTATTTTTTTAAAATACCTTGTACTATCTATGAATGATGAATCATGGAATTTTACAACCTCGTTTGATTATATTGCAGCCACGAGCTTTCTTCATTTACATTTTGTTGCTTAAAAACGAGCTTTCTTATCAGAATTGATATTACATTGAAAGTAATCGAGAGCATGTTATAAAGACAATACAGAAACTGATAGTCCTACTAATATCCCAAATCATTCACTGAAATGTTTGAGCTTTTTTCATGTTGAACACGAGCTTACCTAACATCGTTGTTGTTAAGAAACCTAAATGGAGTTTGTATTTGACGTTACTACGTCTCTGTTAAATTATTGAATTGAATCGAGAGCTTGGCATAAAGACAATATAGAGAAACCGAGATGATACTCCTAAATCGTTCACTGAACTTGTTTTTGAACCTGTTTAATAATCTTTACGTTCAATACATGTTTGATCTTCATTAAGCAGAGATAAACCCGTTTATAGATTGTTAATACCAAGTGTGCAAGAAAATAGTGGAAGATTTTTGCCCCAAAAAAAACTTTCAAAAGCAATTTTTTAAACTTTTTATAACTAGACAGATGGTCGTATGATTTTCCAAACATCAAAGTTATAAAAAGATTCAATCCAAACTTATAAATTAGAGTTATAAGGACTATGTACTACTATCCCAAAATATTGTCACATTATCCTCAATTTCCAATTCTTAACTTATTATGCTGCATTGTAGTATGATTTTCCCAAGATGAAGATAGGATTAAAACACAAATGATTGGTGGATTACTGTAGGAAACTGGATTTATATGGAAGTAAATCATGATTAATAAGATCTTTGTAATGATTTTATAAATTTCAAATCTTGATGAATTCACTGTTTGTTAAGTTTCTTACATTTTTTCTTAATACAGTAAATAGTAACACCATCCACCTGTCGGATACAAAAAAAATTTCCACATAAGCTAGCATTAAATAAAGGGTCGTTGATTTTGATGTTAACAAAAACAATCTTTACATTTCTCTGTTTACAAAACCATACGGTAAAAGAGAAAAAATATAAATCCGATACTTAAGCATCCAACCCCTAATTGTTTTGATTTCCCGGTGATTTCACTTCCGTCCGACTTGTTTTTCCGGCTGGTTTTCTCCTAGAAGAGGAACAAAGTACGCCTTCAGAGATTTTAAAAACCGATATAGAAGACACACCTCTTATAACCAGGTTTCCGATTTTCTCAGGCTCTTCGTGTTAGCTCGAAATCGTCTTCATGCTCTCTCTCTCTCTCTCCTATATGGGTTTCCGAAATTTCCAGGAATCCAATTTGTTTCTGGTTCTGGTTTTTGTGTAGGAACGAGACGGCGATGTTGAAATTTCTGCTTATGGAGGTTGCTTGACTTTTGGGTTTTGAGTTTTGATCTGAAGTCTCTCGATCGTAATTGGTTGAATCATGTCTGGGTCGAGTATGTATAAGACGAAGCTATGCCTTCTGTACAAGAAGAGCGGTAACTGTTCTCGGCCGAATTGCAGTTTTGCTCATGGAACTGCTGAGCTCCGTCGTCCTGGGGATTCTTCTTCCTTCACAGGTAATTTGAGCAGGATTTTGATTTCATTATCAGGTATTTTTTAGTTTGTTGGTGATGGAACGATCCATGAAGTTATGAGTACTTCTCTTTTGATTGGAAGAGAATGGAAAAGTCCTCACTTTGATTAGGTCTCTTTACTCTTGGCTTTTCCTGGACTTTTCATGTTTGGATGATTCTGTCAAGTATTTGTGGTTGAAATTGGCTATCTCTGTATAGTTTACGAATCATTCGGGAATATGGACTGTTGTTCCATTTACAGAAAACAAGCTTAGTATTGTTTTTACTCCGGAGTGGAATCTGCTGGTCTTTGGTGCTGAAATGTATATTGGTTTTCTTGTTGCTATTGAGAGCTTATTCTTCAATGGGTTTTTGCGGGGTGTTTATTCTTCCACAACCATATGGTATTCAGATTTCAGACTCCCAAGATTTGGTGGCAAATCAATGGCTGTTCATAGGACTTATATTGTTATGACTTGTGCCATTTTCATGCTACTGGTTATTCTGATATTCCCATGATTGTTATATCTTCAATCGTCTCACAAGCAGTTTCTAAGATCAAGAGATATTCAGTTCATGGGGTGGTTTTTTATCAGAAGGAATTGAACTTCATATTTTGGTGGATTATGATTGTGTGTGATTAAATGGATCTCCAAGATTGGTTTTTATTTTCTCTCGTCCTACATGATATGTGAAGCAATGTCCCTATGTCAGCCTATTATTTTACAGTGACTTCATTTAGTGCTCTATTGTGGGTTTTCTCCAACTGCTGGTAAGAAGAGGATTATATTTTTGTGGTCTCTTTGAACTGGCAAGTAAGCATCATTACTTTTTTCTTCTGTGATCTTGCAAGTGTTGCTGACTGGTATGATTCTGGTTGTTTTGGTTCACATCTTTGTCACACAAGTGTGCTTGACGTCAAAGTCTGTTTCGTTTTACTCTGCAGGCAGACGTCACAATCTGGATAGTGACTTGAGAGATAAACTTGGTAGACAGTTTTCTCCTGAGCGGAGACCTTCTTTGGACAGAGGTGGAAGAAGGGTACAAAGATTTAATGGTAAGATCTGAGGCTTTTGGGTTCTTGGAGTTCTGTTGATTGTTGGTTAGGCCTATTCACAAAAAACCTGTCAACTTCTCGCTCTGGATTTATTTCTTCTGATTGTTACCGTTGGGAATCCAAATATGCAGGACATGAAAATCCCAGGCCATTTGAGAGGCGAAGGTATGCCTTCTTCTTTGCTCGGCTCTGCTGCTGTAATTTGTTGGTTTCTCCATGCTTTAAAAACTGTGGCTTTATATGGCTTATTTTCACAGAGATGAAGACTTCAGAGAGAACCGCAGATATGATGAGCGGCGTGATTATGCTGGTGGTGGTTTGAAAGTGGGGAATAGAATTGAAGTCAGGGAAAAAGATGAAAGAAACAAGTTTGTGGGTTACAATAATGTTCTGGAAGAGCAGGTTTGAGCCTTTGATTTTCTTGATTGGGTGTTAGTTGAGGATGTGGTTCTATTTTCAGCGTAAGTGTCGTCATTACTCTAACCTTTCCTCTGGGACTATATGCAGTTAAAAGATGTGGAGATGGATGTTAAGATTCTTACTGATGACAAACTACGATTGGAGGTAAACTTCTCCACATTCCGCAGTTCATTTGATTGCATTATACGTAGGAGTTAACTTGACTATTGTGATTGGTGTTATTACTTTTCTTCAAAGGCTTCCGTCGAAAGGAAGGCACAGGAAGCAAACATTCTTACTTGTAGGGTCGAGGAGCTTGAGACCCAGTTGGATAGAGAGAAAGATGAGTGTAAGAGGTAATGACTGTTTCCTCCTTCATGTTTGCTTGAAACTAATTCCAGTAATGTGATTTGGTACAATCTTACTTGATCTTCTGGTGATTCTTGTTGTTCAATCCTTTTGTATGTCAGGATTACTTCAAGCACGAAGAAATTTGTGAAAGAATATAACCGTTTCTTGCGGGCACAAGATGATCTAAAAAGGCAGGGCACTTTCCCTTTTCTGGTTGCTTTTTATATAAGCATGCAAAAATATCATTCATGAACCGATGCTTTGTCGTCAAATCTGTAGGTCACAAGCTCGTCTTCAGAAGTTGGGAAACCAACTCAGTACATATCTTCTTGCAAATGAAGACAATGTCAGGGACGCAGACGTCGATATTGTGAGCGATGAAGAGAATAACAATGGCCGGAATCTGAGGATTGCTTCTGATTCGCAGAATGAGTTGCATAATACTTCTTCACTCTCCAGGAAAAGGCATTATGTGGATCAATATACTACCAAAGAGCCTGTTGAAGATGGTAAACTAATCTACACCCTTTATATCTCTGCTGATGTTAAGTTCATTAGACCACACGATGAACGTTTTACATCTGTTTCAGCCTTGATAGGAAGAGGTGAAGAAGAGAAGGCGAAGAGACATTCCCGTTGGAATACGGTTCCTTCGAAATCATTTTCTGAAGAAGAAAGTGGAGGGCGAAACGATGAAGACACAATTAGCAAGTTCTCATCAAGGGAAGACAATTGGAAAAGAACAAGGTTTTCTTCTGGCACCTCATCGACTAATAAGGTATTACATCTTCTTCTTCTGCAGAATCGGTGTTCACTTTAAAGCTCAATCTTTCACAATGAAGATGTGTTTGTTGGAACAAAAAGAAAGTGATAATAGAGACTTTGTTACGTGGTTAACGGTGCTGCAGGTAATGTCTAGAGTTGCAGAACATGATGAAGAGAATCCTCAAGCAGCCAAAGACTCTCCTCTCAAATCTCTTCCTCCGCCACCACCTTTCAGAGATGGCCATTTTCAGGTGAGCATTATAATTTCTGTGATTTTGATGAAGATGATGATCCTCACATATCATGTTGTGTGCTGAGAATGCTGTGTTTGTGTATGTTTTTCCAGGGAGACGAGGAGGATGTAAATGTTGATGTGATGGAGCAGAGGAAAGCCAATGACGTTGATTCCGTCTGATCACATATCTGTTGAATCCATAGCCGCAGAACTTTGAAGATATAATGTGATTCCGTGTTTAAGTAATGTTTTGGAGTTTTTGCTAGAGGAGCTTTATTACATTTTGTTCCTTGCAACATTATTGCTATTATTAATGATTAGGATCGGTACATGCTTCTCTTAATCACCTTAAATATATTGAATTTTTGATCTACGAATAGCGTTATCGGGAACAAAGAGAAAAATAGCTGAACGTCCTTCGGTGAGGTGGAGGAGAGAGACATAACTTTTCACGGTTGGATCGGTGAATAATAAAATAATACTCCAATATTTTGGCATTCGATATAAATCATCACTAATCAATGCTAATATGCGTTTTCATCATTAATCAATGCTATGTCGTGAACAGAGAGAGTTTGCATGTTCTCTACAAATACAGCTTTGCGTCTTCTACTATTTCAGGTTCTAAACCATTCAAAATCAAACAAAAAGAAAGAAAATGTCAGATGAAGATAGTTTTCAAGACTTTTCTTCGGGGTGTTTACCAAGAGAAGGAGTCAATCTTTGGACTGAAGAGAGGTTAGGTTGGAGGTAAAATATGTGAGGATGAATGGGAAATCCATGGAGAAATCCAGGACACCCCTCAGTCACTGTCATTGCTCTCCCATTTTCAGTGTTCTGTCTTAGAATCTAAAGACTCGAGCTTTTCTCTGTTTTGGTCCATTACTTTTCTAATTCCACTCTCTTGAAAAATTCAGGTACGAAGGAGATGAAGCAAACAACCACACAGCTCTTCCATGCCCTGGTGAGTTACTAGTTGAGCAGCATCACAGCAACTACGGTGATGTATTTGAGTTCTTGGCTGAATCAGCCAATCCTAAACCAAACTTTCGTGTCCTAGAAATCGGATGTGGCACGCTACGTGTTGGTTTGCATTTCATCCGCTATCTCAATCCTACACATTTCCACTGTCTTGAAAAGGACGAGCTTTCTCTAATGGCTGCTTTGAGGTATGAGCTTAATTTTGTCCTGTATCAGATTAATCACTACTTTAATTTGGTGTGTTTATGGTTAGAGAGAAGATGATACATGTATTGTTGTATTCATTCCTTATACAATAGCAAAAATGATATAAGAGATGAGGCTTAATTCACTCTGTAACCAAAGACAAATTCTTTTTCACATTCATAGCATTTGTTACCACTTTGTTTGCCAGCAGTTTTGCCATAAATTTCAACAATAGTACTGCAATACAATAAGAAACCCAACATTCAAAAGACAAACACAGGACAGGTCCAGATGACAACACTTCCAATTTGTAGACTTATCTTGATCTTTATCACAATACAAAACAACACGTTAATGTTTAACAGCTCGAGCAGAAGCGATGTGATGGAGAAGGCGTCGGGTCGGAATGGATTCTCGGCGGCTTCTTCTCACGGGGGGCACAACGACGGCGGCGACGGAGCTCTGTCTTTCCGAATTGACTTCTTCCTCAACCTCAACCGGAATAGCAGCAGTGTCTAGCTCGAAAGAACCAGCGGGAACTCCTTCTTTCTCCTCTCCAGTCAGTTTAACTGAGGGCACTCTGTGAGAGAATCTACGCATCTCCTCCGGTGGGATCACGCGTGAGATAATACCACGCTGAAGAGCGTGTTCAAAGACAGATACAAATCCATCAACCTTCCCTAGATAGGTCACTCCAACACCTACACTATCGTCAAAGCCAAGCACCACTTGCACAAAGTCGTACTTGTACGGAGGCTTGTGCTGTTCCGGGTTATTGCTCCAGTCTCTGAAAAGAGCCCACGTTTCACCTTTCATTGGATTCAGAGTGATGAAGTCCGTGCATTGTGTGATAGGCTGCATCTCATGAGAAAACGCCAAGTGGCCTTTCAAGGTTTGTGTTTCCCCGTATTCGAACCTCCCGCAAGCAACAGAAACTGATCCTTCATCTCCAGATTCAAGCCATGTCACTTCAAGACGACTCGCCGGAGACTTGTGAATACTCTCGATCTTAGCATACAACCGAGGCATGTCATCTATATCATCGTAGAGTGCCCAAACTGCACCAACCGCGAAAGAGCTCATTGTCACTTTGAAGTCATGAAACTCTGGATCAACACAGTTCAACTGTTCAGCTTCCTCCTCATCACTCTCTCTTCGTCAAAAGAACATACTCTTTCCTCGTTTGCGTCAGCGTCATCATGGCTGTGTGATTTCTGCTTTTTTGCACGACGGGCAAGAGACTCCGCATGACTAGTCTCTTCTTCCAACAAATTCACCCTTGATCTCTTACAAGTATCATCACCTTGTATCAATCGCTCTTCCAACTCCCTCTGCTTCACGGCAAGCTCTTCCTCCCTTTCTTTAAGCTTCTTTTCTTTTTCCTCTAGAGACTTTCTCTTCAGTTCCAACTCCTCAGCTTTTGCTTTCTGCTCCTCTTTACAAGTATCAGCTTGTTTCAATCCTTCTTCCAACTCCCTCTCCTTCACGTCAAGCTCTTTCTCTCTTTCCTCAATTTTCTTTTCCTTTTCCTCTAGAGACCTTCTCTTCAGTTCCAACTTCTGCTCCGCTCCTAAGATCTCATCGTGAATGTCGTCTACAAGTTTACTCATTTCCAGCTTTTTCTTTCCAGCTATCCCCACAAAATCAGATCCCGGAACCCTAAGTATAGTCATATAAATCAGTAAACAATCGGTCATGGAAATTTTTCTAAACATCTAGAGAAAGGGAAAAATGAAAAACAAACCTTTCTCGACACTGGTCTTCAGTTTCCGATTCCATTGCGAGTTTACCTGTAGTAGTCAGATGATAACAACGGTGTGAAAATTCAAAGCTGAATTAAACAAATATTTTACCCAGACGGATTTGGAGACGAAGCACTTATATGACTAGCTAAAAGTGGAATCAAGCGAAAATGGCAAGAGAAGCTTATGAACATACACACACACACAAAAAAGCCTTCTACTGCTGTGAAGATCTGAGTTTTAGAGGTTGAAGGAAATTAAACCAAAAAGCAGATAAGCTTAGTTCCTTTTCTTTCCGTTAAGAGTTTTGTATACAAATTTTGAAAAGAAAATATAACTTTTAGTGGAGATGGAGGGAGTCAGTGTGTCACTCAAAAGTGAATCATACTACGTCATTTGTTTTACTATTTGACCGAATCCAGCTGGCTCTGTAATCTGTAGCCGTTAGATTTTTCGTTACATTCCTTTATTTATAATCAGAGATGTTATTGTAAAATCGAAATACATGAGACAGAGAGACAAGTGAAAAAAATGAAAAAATTGAAGAAAAAGCAAGAAATGACCAGTCCTATTGAAGAGACAGTTTTACTACAAATGGAAGGAGGAGGAACAGAAAAGCTGTGCATACATATTTCGGGAATCCTTTAATTTACAACCGTTAGATTCAATTGTTTCTAAACCGTTGGATTAGCTTACGTCAGATTTTGTATTTGACCGAAGAATGATGGATTAGTAGCCGTTAGATTACGTCACACTCCAATCAGATGATAATCACTTTTATTGGTGACTTAAAGGGCTTTATTAGGTAAAAATAAGCCCATTGAGTCATTGGCTCATACTGAAACAACAACAAGCCCACTATATATTCATTTGGAAAACCAAGTGATGTTGGAAACTCTCTCTCTCTCAACAGAATATATAAATCCACATTGTTAACAATTCAAAAAAATTTCCAAATTTTAAAATTGTAATATCTATGTTTCTATTAATATATGTATATGTTTCTATTAATAATTTGATAGAAAATGTATAATTGAAAATTTTCCTATATTGATATAAAATTTTCCGACCCGATCACCCGAAATCGCAAGCTTATTTAAAACACATATTTTGCAGTGACAATGTACTCGGTAAAGATATAAAAATTGTAAAACATTTTGTATCAATAAACATTTTAAAAGAATTGAAAATTAGAAAATTTATAAATCTTTTTTAAAAAAACATAAAAACGGATAAAATAGCTAGTATATAAATATAAAATTGATACATCATATTTCTAATATTTTTATTAAAAAAAATAATCAATTATACAGACGGTAAAAGACCTAGTAAATAATAATAGTTGTGACTAGGATAAGTGAAAGTTATATTGGAAAATAAGTTTTGATTTTATTTTGTTTCAACTTGGCTCTCAAGATAAACGCCAAGATTGACGGATCCATGACCGAGCTCTACAAGTCGATACCTTCTCAAGGTTACAATCCGAGCATCAGGTTTCGCCGTGGTCCAGAAAAGACACCACACGAGGCTGTTCCGGTGCGATCCTGACCATGACTGGAACAGTGGTTGACTCGGTGATAACACACCCACAAGAGTTTGATTTCTATCTTTGTAGTCATTTGGGAGTGAAGGGCACGGGCAGACCAACGCATTATCACATCTTGTGGGACGAGAACTAGTGAATATAAGAGTTTTATAATTTGACATACTATAAAGATACGGAAACTGAAAATCATACTTACGGTCCAGAATAAAACTCTATACAATTTAACTTTTGTGTGTTATTTATATATCATTTTTAATAAAGATTAAATAAGAAAATAGTGCAATCTCACAAGAGTCTTTATATAGGGGATATCTCTTCGTGTATTTTTGAGTTTGTCACAAGAAAAGATGAAGACATTTAACAATGGCTACTCCCACTTTGTGTTTTTTCCTATCTCTCTTTTTCTTCTTCTTCTTGATTCAGGGCTTTGCATGGATCCTTTCTCCTACGATCATCCTCTAAACTCAGAGGTACGTACAAATATATATATATTCAATTTTTTTAATATATTTAACATCATTGCAAGTGCCTCACGGAGCTTCCAAAAACTAACAATACTCGAGAAGGATTCCAAGAATTGAAGATCAAGGAAAATGGAAAAACCCAAAACGTAGTAGAGAGAGTTCATCTTGAGAAAGGGAACATATACAGCATCACTGGTAAGAAAACGTTTGTTTGTTGTTTCTTGTGTAAGTAAGTTAAGATTTTGATGTTCTTGAATTGGTGTGATCCATTTTGGATCAAGTTAAGAATGGGGAATGAGAAAAGAGTAAGAATGACTTTTAGAGGAAAGGACATAAAATACGTTGATGGAGGTCAAGTTATGGCGAAGAAAGGATGCTGGTCTTTGCTCAAAGGTGGTTTAACCGTCGATTTCTCGGTCCATGTCAACATTCTCTTCCAGGTAGACAAGTTATCTTTGTATTCCTTTGTAGATTGTGAGAGCTAATGATTGGATTTATGCGACGCAGAGCACTGACTTAGCGGCCGCAGAGATATTAGTAGAAAATGTGAGGTTGCAACGGTTCAACAAAACTCAATGGAGGCTAAAACAAGACCAAGTCATTGAAAAGGGAAGAAAAGTGAGATTTCAAGTGAGTTTTCAGAACAAATCCGTGGCAAAAGGATCGTTGATTTCCCTAAAACAGATCAAACCATCTTTCCTCCTCGGCTGTGCTATGAACTACAAAATCTTGGAAAGTGATAGCTAAAAAAGAATGGTTTACGTCGCGGTTTAGGTTAACTTCTTTTACCAATGAGATGAAATGGTATAAAAATGAGGTGGTGAGAGGCCAAGAGGACTACACATTGGCTGATTCAATGATGCAGCCTGCAGAGGAAAACGAGATCCTAGTGAAAGGACATACGGTCTTGTGGAACAATCAGATTTGGCTACCGAGTTGGGATCAGACGATAACGGATCCTGAAGATTTAAAGAATACGACAATCAACAGGATCAACTACTACGAGGACATGCTTGGGAAAAACGCTCCAGCCATGTTCTACTCTTTGGCCTCTAATATTGATCCCGATGTACCGTTGTTCGTGAACGAGTACAACACGGTAGAGTTTGCTGGAGAAGGAGATGGGTCATCTTCAAGTGGTTAAACTTGAAGTTAATGCTTGAAAACCGAACCATGGCAGTATCCCATGAGAGTGATTTTACAAAAGGAATAAAGATGAATGTGACAGAAGCAGTGGGCTTATTACTATTTACAGCTATACTAAGTACCTATAACAGTTATAAGAGTTTTCTGGTTCTTTAAATGGGAGTGAGAGAAGGCTCCATCATCAAATTCCCAAGTTATTGTAAAACCAGAACTACAATCTATAAAAAGCCTGTTTCAATATTCTGTTCTTATAAGATATATTGTTGAACAACAACGCAATCAAAAACAAATTATCAATACTAAACCAACCTAACGACTAATTGAAAGTTTGAAGTGTTCGCACTGAAGAATGAAGCTTCAGTTGTGTTGTTCTTTCATTATCTCGGCTGCTAGAATAACAAGCCCCACCATCTCAAACCCTGCTAACCTTATATATATCATCAACATTTCAGGTTCTCTACATTGTTGGCAACTATTACAAAATATTTGAAGGAGTGGAAACTGTGGAATACAGAGAGTGGCAGTACGTAGCACACGTATTTAGAATTGCGAACACGTAATCACCAGAAAAGGAACTCCATGCAAAGAAAAACTAGAATAGAAAAATCATGAGTTAATTAAGGATGATATCATACTCTTTTAGCGACTGATATTCCTGTCCTAGTCGCGCTAACTCCAGAAGGGTTCTCACCTTTTCGTTGGTATCAAACAGGTCTATTTTTTTTTTCAACATGCAAATATTATTGTTATCAGTGATTAGGATCGGTACATGCTTCTGTTAATCCTATATAATAAGCCTTCTACAGTGTAGGCAAACTTGTTTAGGTTGACAAAAACGAATCCCAGTTAAAGAAAACTTGTTTAGAAGATCATAAAAAATTCGATTTTCGGATTTTGTTTATATTGGTCTAAGAATTTCGGTTCGGGTGGGTATAGTTTAAATCTCAGACACAACTGTTTTAACCAAATGAAAAAGACTCTATTTTATATTCGAGAAAATAGAGTCTTTGTAAGGAAGCGATGCTTTATGATCTCCCTTACATTAACTAGGTAGGTACATAGTTTTTTTTTTTGCTATCGTTCGTTATAGGTCCTCGCTTATAGATCGCTTTAGTTCTTATTGCTATCTTTATAGGTCCTCACTAATAGATCCCTTGTCCTGATAACCATTTGCTCAGAGAAATTAAATCTTGTGTTGCATAAGATAATGTATCTCTAAGCAGTTAGTTCATTATTTACCCATTAGATCATTTGGTTACTGTTTTTGGTGGTACTTCTCTAGGCTAGAGTTAGACTCCTTCCCTCGTCATTTGCTTAATTTATTTACTTTGTCCATTTGCATATTTGTTTTTCCTTTGGCCATAATTTCTATCTGTTTTTTTTTTTTACAATTTTTTCCATACTTTCTATTTATTTTTTACTGGTGCCCCAAAATTTATCTATTTTTTTCTATGATCCAAAACAAAAGCGGGTCGATTAGATCAACCCTTTGGTAATTTATCTCTGTTTACACTTTAATTTGACCATCCTATGTAATTTTTCTGGTTATACCTTATGTAACGTGATATTGACTATTTATGGTATTCACATTAGGGTTTTCTTCATTCGTTATATTATTCTTTATTCAAAGAAAACCAATCTTCAGTCCTTCTCTACTACAAGGGCTGCTTCAAAGGTACGTACGCCTATAATTAGAGAGATTCTTGTAACATTTTTAATCCTTACTAACGAATTTGTACTTTTTTTTGGTAAAAACCTGATAGTTGTGTATTTTATTGACCATTTTCCCGTTATTTAATGTATGTGTAAATTTTTTTTTTCCAAATATTCATATGTGTAAACCTTGATTTGATCAGTAAACCTTCATTTAAGTAACACTATGTTAGTCTTTATATATGTGTCTCATAAATATTTTTTGTTTCTAATTACTGTCCAACCAAATGAAAATACTCTATTCATTTTCTTTTGTGGGAGAAGATCATAAAATTTGTAATAGATGTTCATATGTTCTGGTTTTCATTTACATGTCCTAGTTGTGTTACACGTTAACCTCTTTAGTTTTTTCGTTATTATAAATATTTTTGGTTTATAATTACTTTACAACCAAATGAAAATACTCTATTCATTTTTTTTGTGTGGGAGAAGATCATAAATTTTGATTTACATGTCCTAGTTTTGCTACACGTTACTTGATCCCACGTTGCATTTTGATAAACCTCTTTATTTTTTCGTTATGATATAAGTCTAAAGTTCTTCTTTTCAGACCCATTTAGTACATGCTCAAATCATATTAAAATATCACTACAAGTTTTAAGAGGGAAAAGAAGAACGGTTATGCAAATTAGAGATCCATTATATTTTCTCGGTCTAGTATTAGATTCACGAACGCGTCAAAAAGGTCAAATCGACGTTTCTCGTCAACAACGCCGGCGTTCAGTGTGTCGGACCTCTGGCGCCTGGCGGAGTCTGATTCACCTGCCACACCAATGTTTTTGGTAAAAAGGAAATTTGATTTACCAATGTAACGAGAGTTCTTATTCGGCTTTACAACCAAATGCGAGCGACAACCAAAAATATTTATAATAATAAGTTAATAACTTAAGACTTTGAATAGAGAGAGATGAAAGAACTATTAATCATACAATTTTTTTCTAGTCATTTATCATTGAACTTGCTATTCTACGAATAGTGACAATCACAAAGTGTTTTGTGATTCATGCAGCACTATTTAGACTTTGACTGGTTTGTTTACTACAAACTGAAGTACATTTTCAGTAACAATGAGTTTTTACTCTAAATGCAATTTTTTTTTCACCAATCACAAATATAAGGAAGGGATTTCATCTTCTTCTTCTTTCTTTATTTTCAATTTTATTTTGCCAAAAATCAGAAAAGAAGGTTAACTAGAGAGAAAAGAGAAACAATTTCTCAACTAGCTCATGAGGAAAAGATAGGATAATATATTCCTCTAAAATTTACATTTTTTTCTTTCTAAAAATCATTTTCTTTTCCTCTTGAGACCTCTCGCTCTCTATTTGCTTGTCCCAAAACCAAAGCCCCATGTAGGCGAATCCATTTGATTCATTGTTGTAGAATCGGTACATGCTTCTGTTAATCACCTAAAATATATTGAATTTTCATTTACGACTAGAGAAAGTAGACAGAGTTTTCGTCTTCGAGCTCCCAAAAGAATTAAAGCTATAAACATCTTTAAACGAAAACAGCCATTACAAGCTGAGAAACATCAAAATCTTAATTTGCGGTCATCTAAATGAATTAAAGAACTAAATCGAAGTTTATATATATATATAGGAAAGAAGTTAGAAGTCTAAAGTTATATGACTAGAGTTTAATTAGCACGTCTTAAATAAGAATCATGAGTAGCATAAACGTATGTACTAGACTAATACTCGCGCGTATGCGTAGGTTTTTTTGTTGTTATAATTTTTTAAAATGTTATAAAATAGTTATATATTTGTGATTAATATTTTGATATGATATATAATAATATAAATTCTAACACAATAAAACTTGTGTTTTAGATCTAACTTACTTGGTTAGCGACATACTTTCAAATGTATATTTTTACATTATATCTCTCATTTTATTCATAACTCTCTTTGTTTACTTACGACCATATGAAATGGACTCTGATTCCCCACAATTAGTTAACAGAGTGCTAACATGTCCAAAATTCGGAAAAGGTTAAACCTTTTATAAATATGCTTATTCTTTCATGCTCTATCTTAAAATAAAGGAATATGAAAGAGATGATCGAGGGTTGGAGGTTGATATTATAATTATGGAGGATTAAACGATAGAAAAAGAGGAATTTGTAAAGATGATTTATATATTAATTTCCTGCCCAATAAATTTTTAATTTATTAATTTTTTAAATGTAGAGGAAAATGAAAAGTCAATTTTTTTTTTAATAAAAAACTTATTGCCACATGTTTCTGCTTTTCTGATGTATCCACCGTGTCTAAAATATGAAAAGAGTTGGCCTTTTTCATATATATAATTACGCCATTTATAGATCGACACGTGGGTTTGGGCGTGGTGTAAATTACAAGTCAAAAGAAGCTAGGTTATTCAATAATAAAAGTTTTTTTCCTTTTCCTTTTGATACAAATGTGATAAAATGTAATTGAACAGCAAACGCTTAACAAAGTGGTTTGGTTCGGTTTGGAGTGGTGATTTTGATTGGCACCGACTGTGTCTTGCCCACCAAGCATAGATACAGTAGAAAGTTAATGGGACTTTGACGTTTATGGAATATAGTTAATTTGAAGATCGGAAAACTTACTTGGTGGGCAAGTTCATTCCTCTCTACTAATGGAGCAAATATTGGATTAGGGTTTTTCTGTTTTTTATTTTTGCATTAAGCAAAGAAACATCATTCCTATTCATGTCTCTTCTTCTCAGCCGGCGGCTGACGATGGTAAGAAGAAAAGCATCTCTTCTTGGTCATGTTTTCTCCAATGGCTTCTCAACTTGGACTCCTCCTTGTCTCATCATCCGCGCTGAAGCTTGTGGAGAGGAGGAGATGGGAAGACTCGAGATTTACAATGCGAATGAAAATAAATCCACTCTCTTGGAAAAGAAGGTGCCTCTTGAGTTGACGTCTAGAGAAACAAGGGTAACGATCGGGGCATCTCACGGCTGGATAGCTACACTCAAGGACGACGGAGTCCTCCGTCTCCAAGATGACCTAAACCCTGTTGCCTCCGGGACAGATCCGAAACGCATCCCGCTGCCTCCTCTTGTGACTCTGCCACGTTGCCAAACCCAAATCGTCACCAACGTGTCACTGTCCTCATCTTGTCCGGAGAGTGATGAGGACTGCGTTGTGGCTGTCAAGTTCTTGGGACCTCAGCTCAGCTTCTGCAGGCCAGCCGCCGCTAAGAGTGAGTGGACCAACATCAGAGTCGCAAACCCATGTTTCTTCTCCTCCCGGGTCATGTTCTCCGAGGGAGATGGCATGTTCCGCATTCCCGG